TTTGCCCGATCTTGGTATGTGACTGGATATGGTTATACATACCAATATAGGTAGGATTCCAGAACTAGACACAAAATGTTCAAGACAGTTAGAGGCCAGCTTGGGATATATAAAGATTTTTAGGCCAGTCTGGGGTACACAATAGTGTACTATTTAAAATCAGAACCCAAACAAATACCATATAGGAGCTGACGGTGGACAGTTCTGCTATGATCCCACAACTGGGAGAGGCTGATGCAGAAGTTGGAGAATTTGAGGCTTACACAGAGGGCTCTAACTAAAGAAACAAACAAAAAACCAAGTCATCTAATTAATTCCAAAAGAACTAGTAAGCAAGGAAATATACAAGCAGTACATAGGGCTGGGAGTGTACTCAGTGGTAGAATGCTTGCCTAGCATGCTCAGAGCCTGGGGTTTGATATTCAGCATCCCCTCATACGGTTTATGCATTGCCATAATCATAATTTACCTTCTTAAGATTGGTAGAAGTAGCTGGGCAGTAGTAGCGCACTCCTTTAACTCCAGCACTCGGGAGTCAGAGGCAAGTGGATCTCTGTGAGTTTAAGGCCAGCCTGGTCTAGAGTGAGTTCCAGGACAGTCAGGGCTACATAGAGAGAAATTCAGTCTCAAACAAAACAAAACACCCCAACAAAACAAAATAAAGCAGAACAGAATGGTAAAAGTAGCTGGGTGTGGTGATAAACATTTGTAATCCTAGCACTTGAAAGGTAGAGGCAAGAGGAAGATCAAAAGCTGAAGGTCATCACGGGCTACTATTGAATTTGAGGTAAGCCTTAGATATATGAGACCCTGTCTCTAAAAAAGTAAAATGTCTCCTTTCAGCTTCTGCCTGTGTAGTAGATACTGCGACTACTGTCTGCCTCTCCAGTGAGAGGGTACTACTTCAGGGAATTTTATTTCAAGTAAATTTAAATATATTCCCTCTTCAGCTCAGGTACAGCTACCAGGAGAGCTAAGTATCACTTATCATCTATACTTGTTTATTCCTGCAGAGAACATTTGAAAATCACAATGACACTTCTAGAACCCTTCAGAGAAAGCCTTTGAGAAAGCAAATGCCCTGACTGCAGCAGAACACAAAACTCTGCATAAGATCAAAGAGCAGAACCTCGAGTCTAGCCCTTTAGGTAAGCTGTTAAAGTACTTCTAACTTTTACAAACAATTTTAAACAGCTATGAATTTTTAAGAACATTTTGTTTAAAAGTCTTACATGTATGGGTATTTTGATCGCATGTTTGTCTGTATACTGTGTGCATTCAGTGCCTAAGGCAGGCAGAAGAGGACCTCAGATCCTGAGACTGGACTTGGAGGTGGCAATTGTCATGTGGGTGCTGGAACTTGAATCCAGGTCCTCTCCAAGAGCTGTTGGTGTTCTTAACCACTAAGCCATCTTTTCCAGCCCCACTTTATAATTTTCCAACCCCATTTTATAATTTATAAAATTATAAAATGTTATAATTTTAATCATAACATTTGTTTTTAATAAAAAAGTGAGGCAAAATATTTAACTATTTGCCTCCTTCCCATTCTTCACATTATCCTCTGACAAGGATGTTCTGAGGCAAGAAGGTCCCAGAGATGCACACTGATTAGCAGTAAAGATAAAAGCCAATTCTTTGGACCAGTTTTTGGGACCTCCAAACATTTCCAACAAACAAAACTAGATGTGTGAATTCTAGCCCAATAAAAACTATAAGTAGTCTGTTACAGCGTGTGAAACCAGGCAGGAAGGTAGTTTTAATTATTAGTTTGCTAAGGAAAATGACATCAGAAACTATACCTGTAAAGTCTCACCAACATGACTTTGAAAACACGTACTGAACAAGGAGGATACCAATGAATGTACCAGACTGTATAGGGGAAGCCCAGGAGATCTCAACCCGACATAAAGAACTACAGCAACTAAAAAGAGCTGGGAGTAGGAGAGGTGTTTTTTCCCCAGTGAAGAACACACCAATTGGTTGTCTAATGCCAAACTGCCAGTCCTGAAACCATACAAAAAAGCAACATCATATGGACTCACCAGGTCAGGTATGTACACACACATATAGGCACGCACTAACTACCGATGGAAAATGCCATGAATTTGAAGTTGAGTGGGGAGGGTATACGGGAGGGTTTGAAGGGAGTACAGGGAGGGAGAAATAAAATAATCTCAAAGGAAAAAAGAAAGATAAAATGTAGACTACTGATACCAAAAACAAAACAATAAGCGTGACTCGTTTGTGAACTACCCAAATTAACATATGCAAGCATTCCTCTACATCAAGTGCTATGCACAGAACAAGTTCTAAGGAGTGAAGAGACTTCTAAGACAGCAAACTCCAGGGCTGGAGACAGCACTTGCTGAGAACAATGGACCACAGCAGCTGTACTGGGTGGCTTCTAACCACCTGTAACTTCAGCTTCATGGGATCCAATGCCCTTTTCTGGCCTCATTGGCTGTCTGCATACATGTGGCATACACATACAGATAAACACAGATCAATAAGACTCAAAACAAAAGAAAAATTTCAAAATGCAAACTAGATCCCTCCCCTTTTTTTGAGATAGGGTCACATGTACCATGTGATGCATGTACTGAGTACTGAGATACTGCATCAAACAGCCAAATCAAGTCAGAACAGTATACAGGGGCTGATGGTGGTGTGTACTTCTGCTGTAACCTTATACCTGGGAGGGCTGGCACAGAAACAGAGAGTTTGAAGCTTACACAGCAAGGCCCCAAATCACAAAAACAAAACACAAGTATGCAGTGCTGGGCCTCTCACTAGAGTTTTGGCTAAGCAGGCACTCTACCAAAGAAGCCACATACTCAGCCCACAAGCTAGTATTCTTCAAATTTTATTTTGAAGAATTATACAAAAAACTTTCTTATACAGAAAAGTTACTGTTTAGCCCTCCCTCCTTTTCTTCCTTCTCTTCCCTTCTCTTTGCTTTTGTTTCAGAACTCATTATGTAGCTCAGGTTGGGCTCAAGCATGAGGGCAATCTTCCTGCCTCAGCTTGCCAAGGCTGGTTTACATAAGCCCCTACAGCTGGAACTATTTTCTTTTGAATTTCTTTGTTCAACTATATTGTAATTAAACTCATATCTGTTATTTTCCAAAACTAGTTCAGAGTTTCTAGCTGGAGTGTAGTGTGCACTTTTGTTTTACAGTTACCAAAACAATAAAATCAAAGGAGTTACATTTCCTACTAATATGACTACTTTCAAATTGGGCTTGCACTAGTGAACAAACATATCTCTAGACTCTAAGGGCACATGGGTGGTTCTCATTACTTCTCAATGCATTACCATCCTCTACAGAAGAAATATTATAGTTATTCACTTCACAGGAAGTGAATAAATAAATAAACAAACATTATTATATATTTATATAATAAATTTATAGTTATTCACTTCATAGGAAGAAATACTACTATGCTGGTGCTGACCTTAAAAAAATTTTCAGAGGTTGGAAATAGAACGAAGTTCTGTTCATTAGGAGAGAAAAGTGCATTATGTAAAAATTTTGGAAGCAGCAAGTCCTCAGGAGACACTCACCCTCCTCATCTGTTACCTGCAAACAAGCCTAAAAATAATTATTTGTCAGTGAGGCTGGAGAGATGGCTCAAGGTTAAGAGCACTGGCTGCTCTTACAGAGGTCCTGAGTTCAATTCCTAGCAACCACCTGGTGGCTACAACCATCTGTAATACACTAAAGAGAAAAGCCAGATTGAGTAAGTCAGCTGGGAGAAAAGTTTGAGCCAGAACAGCTGGGTAGAACCAGCCAGCCCAGAGCTCAGAAAGAACAGGGAAGGGTGAGTTTATTAAGCACTAAGTCTCAGAGGCTGAAAACATTCTAGGCCTAGGTTAGATTGAATGGAGGCTAGAAGTTGCCAGGACTAGACCTAGGTTAACAGAAGTAGGCAGTAAGTCTCCCAGACAACAACTGAAGCAGGCAAATAGAAGTTCAGTTTACAGGAGGTGGTAGCCTATATCTTTAATCCCAGCACTTGGGAGGCAGAGGCAGGCAGACCTCTGTGAGTTTGAGGCCAGCCTGGTCTACAAAATGAGTTCCAGACCAGCCAGGGCTACACAGAGGAACCCTGTCTTAAAACAAAAAACAAAAAACAAAACAAAAAAAACCCACAACCATTACCAGTCAGAACAACAACAACAAACCCAAAACTCTCAGAAGTAAAATGAGATTAACGTTTCCTTTTATGAGCCTACAAGGTGCTCGGATAGCCAGAGCTTTGTGCATTTTAGAAATCTAAATTGCAAGGCATTGCAAGGCAGTGACTGCAGCTTTACACTCCCAAGCCAAATCAAATTTGACAGGTGGAAAGCCTATGCCTTCTCCAATTATCCATTTGAGCCTCCCTTTGTTCCTATAGAATTCACAGCTAGCTTCATAGTACATTTTCTAGCTAGAACACAGGGAGATTAAAAAAAAAAAAACCAAAACAAAAAAAACCCAAACAAACCCAAAAACCCATCCTCTGCTGGAAACATTCAAGCAGCAAGATAGCTAAATGAGGAGTTTTGCTGTACATAACCTATTGCCATCTCAAAGAATTGGATGAACAGATATTCAGAAAAAGCCCAGTTTTTGTCCCCATCCCATACAGGGGTTTTCTGTGTATACCTGGCTGTCTTGGAACTTGCTCTGAAGATCAGGCTGGCCTTAATTCAGAGATGCTCCTGCCTCTACTTCCCGAATGTTTTTTAAACGCCTAAAAGAATTTGGTCCACGTATGCCAGAGAACACAAATGCATATTTTTTCTAACCCAAGTTTTCTGTCTATGTTAGCTGAACCCTGTATGGCAGCTTCACATCATTATGCTTCATTAACTAGAATGTGAAGTGATTTATTTGGAGCAGCAGGTATTTAACCAAAGTATCAAGCAGTCTACTTCAGCAACATATATAGAAGGTTCTGGCACCAAATAATTGAGGAGTCAGTCTCAGCAGTTAAAAAAAAGTACTTGCCAGTTTGAAAGTCACAGACAGTTTACTGTTCTATAATTAGATAAAGAGAAAAAAGAAGAACCCTTGGGTAGCAGGAATAAGCAAGAGTCTTCCACAGTCTGGCATCTGCAAGGAAATGAGAAAAAGTTTTACTTCCTTCCAGTGACAGAAGTACCAACTACATCTAACAACATCAACACAACTGTAACCCTCAAGATCTTACAAGGCTGTTCCAGAGATTCACTGTTGTAATGGCAGGACATGGAGTGCCTGCTGGCCCTCTCCTCTTCAGTACTGCCATGTACATGGAGACTGGCTAAGTGACTTGATGACATTCCTCACAGCAATCAATGAACATTTCTTACATCAGCAGTTTCATAAATGAGAACTGACTCTCTGCCAATCAAGTACTTTGAACAATTCTTGAATGAATTCTAATAAACTTACTGTTATTTTTCCTCTTAAATACTCTATTACTCATTAATTCAACAATATTGATATGTATGTGTGTGTATGTACAAAGACTTTTAAAAATTACATCCATCCAGGGCTGGAAAGATGGCTCAGCAGTTAAAGAGCATTTGTTGCTTTTGTAGAGAACCCAGGTTCGATTCCCAACACTCACAAGGTGGTTCACAACCATCCGTAACTCCACTTCTGGGGAATCTGATGCCCTCTTCTGACCTTCCTGAGCACCAAGCATGTATATGGTAGACATATTTACGTGCAGGCAAAACATTCACAAAGTAATAAATCTAATAAAAACTTAAAAATTCTATTTGTGTGTGTGTATGCTTACACAGAGGTTAGAGGACAATTTTTGGGAATTGGTTCTTTCTTCTATCATGTGGCTCCCAAGGATCAAGGTCAGGTCCTCAGGTTTGGAAGCAAGTACCTTTACCCTTTCACCACCTTCCCTTTTTTGAGAGAGTTTCATAAAAACTAGGTTGTTCTTAAACTTCATAGCTCAGGCTGATCTTGAAGTCCTGGGTCCTCTTGTCTTCACTTCCCAAGTGCTGGGATTACTGGTTTGTGCTTTTGCACCCAGCTTTTCATACTTGGTCCTTAAGGGAAATCATGTCTTCTATTTTGTTTATATCCTTTTATTAAAAGTTTGAGTTGGGCAGTAGTAGCCCATGTCTTTAATCCTGGCACTCAGGAGGTAGTGGGAGTTCCAGGAAAGCCATGGCTACACAGAGAAACCTTGTCTTGAAAAACCAACAACAATGAAAACAACAAAAAACAAAACAACACAAAACACCAAAACCAAAATCCTGAAAAATTTGCAAGAGGTTTCATAAAAACAATGCTGCTTTTTATTAAGAGGACCAAGGAAGAACTGTGTGTGGTTGTGTATAACTGTAACCCCAGTTCCCATGAAGGCTGAATGAGGCAGGAGAACCCTGAGTTTGAGGTCAGCCTTGGCCTACATAATCTAGATGCTGTCTTAAATAAGAAAGGTATTTATACAGAAAAAGGAATTTGGGCTGGAGGGATGGCTCAGTGGTTAAGAGTACTGTCTGGTCTTCCAGAGGTCCTGAGTTCAATTCCCAACAACCACATGGTGGTCATATCTACAGTGTGATCTGATTCCCTCTTCTGGCATTTGAGTGTACATGCAAATAGGGCTAGCATTCATATACATAATAAATATTTTTTAAAAAAGAAAAAATTTCATCACTGTGTAAAAGTGAAGTTAAAAAGCCAAGTACAAGACAAGTGTGGTACCACATGCCTTTAACCTAGCACTCAGGAGACAGAGGAAGAGAGTGTTGTTCCATGAGTTGGAGGTCAGCATGGTATAGTTCCAGGATAGCTATGTTTACATGAACAACAACAGACCTTGTCTCAAAGGGGAGGGGGGGCTGAGTGGGAGGAAATATCTTGTCTTTATCTTATGAGAAGCTTCTTCCAGGTTTTCATTATAGAGTTGCCTTTCTCATTTACTAGATATATTGCATATACTAGATATACTGTATGATCATCAGACATCTTATGCAACATATTAAGATAATAATTCAAAGTTCACCATTTATCCAGGTATATTCAATGTATTCCTTCTGATTCACCTCAGCGTATCTTTCTTTTGGGGCCAAATTTCATTTTCTTGTTTCCAGAAACAAGAAACAACTTAAAGTCAGAACCTACCAAGCTGAGTATGGTATCACACACCTTAGAGCTTTGAGTCTGAGGTTAGCCTGGTCTACAGAGCAGCCAGGGCTATACAGAGAAATTATGTCTCAGATGGGGGTAAAAAAAAAAGTCAAAATCTACCAAAAATGGCCAATTGCTAGAAGAAACTTATAAATCTTATTGCTAATGACTGAAGGGTGTTTCCTTTTTTCTATTATTATTTTTTAACATTTAAAACCTTTTTTCCCCTCTGATTTTTTCAAGCAGGGTTTCTCTGTGTAATAGCCCTGGCTGTCCGGAACTTGCTTTGTAGACCAGGCTGACCTTGAACTCACAGAAATATGCCTGCCTCTGCCTCCCGGAGTGCTGGGACTACAGGTGTGCACCACCACACCTGGCTTTAACTTTTCTTTTTCTTCTTTCTTCTTTCTTTCTTTCTTTCTTTCTTTCTTTCTTTCTTTCTTTCTTTCTTTCTTTCTTTCTTTCTTTCTCTCTCTCTCTCTCTTTCTTTCTTTTCTTTTTTCTTCTTTTTTTTTTTGAGACAGGGTCTCACCATGTACCTCTGGCTGTCTTGGAACTCCCTATGTAGACAAAGCCCTTGAACTCACAGAAATCCACCTGCTTCTGCCTCCCTAGTGCTGAGATAAAGGTGTGTATCACCACTCCTGGAGTTTACTTTTTTTTTTTTTTTTTTTCTGAGACAGGGTATCTACATAGTCCTGACTGTACTGGAGCTTGCTATGTAGATCAGGCTGGCCTTGAACTCAAGAGATCCTCCTGCTTCTGACTCTCTTGAGCGCTGGGATTAAAAACTGGCTGGGGTTTCCACTTAGCTTTTCCACTTTTTTTTGCAGAAGAAACATTAGGTAGGGTACAAAACAAACCCTATCACAGATTCATATGCTTCACTGTTTAGATGGGGATCAATTATTCATTCATTTGAAAACTATCCACTGAAGGACAGAATCCTATCCCAGCCTTCCTAAAGTCCTATCCCACCAGCAGTAGGGGTAGGCAACCTCAGGCAAGGTAGCCAAGCTTAGCTCTACCACAGAAGAACCTCCAGGAAAGGTTTCATCTGGAAAAAGGAGATTTTTGTGAGTTTCTGCACAAAAAAACGACTAGATAATATCAACAGTGCAAGACTCTTAAGAGACCTCAAAATTTTAAATGCTCAATTAAAGAGTATAGATTTTTAAAAAATGATGACTAAACTGTCCAGCAAAGAATTGCAGAGCAGTGAAGCACAGCTGTTTGATTAATCTCGGTCCACTACTAGAGGCAGGGCAAATTTAGAATGCAACTTTGATGTAAAAAAAACAAAACAAAACAAAACAGGCAATGTGTACTAACATTAGGGAAAAGACCTTAGCATGGTAACAGAATTCTAATTTAAGGAGTAAATGCTTATTAGCCTGTAAAACGATAATAGAGGCTATATACATAAAAAACACATACAAAGCTTTATTTTGGTATCATAATCTGACAGAAAATTGGACTCAAATTGCTTTATGTCCAAGTTAAATCTTGCTACCATCTGAAGAGATAGTGGAATGAAACAAATACTTACTTGAGAAAGATGTTCAGTTACTGTGCATTTCCATCTGTAAGAACAAACATTTCAGAATAAATTCATCAGGTCAACGAAACTCATTCTACCCTCAGCACCTATTTAACACAAATTACTTTTTTTTTCAACCCAGGGTTTCTCTGTGTAGCCCTAGCTGTCAAGCAAGTCACTCTGTAGAGCAGGCTGGCTTCTAATTTGGAGATCCGCCTGCCTCTGCCTCCCAAGTGCTGAAATTAAAAGCATATGCCACTATTGCCTGGCATAAATACAAATTACTTATTCCTAGTATATATGGGGTAGTAATCTTAAAGCAGAATTCAAAATTAGTGATGGGATTTCATTGAGAATCATGGAAAAAGAAAAGTCTTTTGCCCATTTTTTCTTTTTCTGAGACAATCTCACAGGCTGAAATCCTGATCTTACCATCTCTGCTTCTCAAGTGCTGGGATTACAGGTATGTGCTATCATGGCTCGCTGTATCAAGCCTTTTGGTATATTATTTAGTGATCTCACTTTTGGGAAATGCAAATATTTAAATTAAATTGTTTTACTACTTTGTTTTTTAAAAAAGATTTATGTGTATGCATGTGTGCCTATGTGAGTTTATGCGCACCACCTGTTTGCAGGTGCCCATGGAACATAGAGGAGCGCATTAGGTCCCCTGGAACTAGAATTATAGGCAGGTGTGAGCTGCTTGATGTAGGTGCTGGGAACCAAAAAAACATTCTCTGCCAGAGCGGCAGGTGCTTTTAACTGCAGGGCCATGTCTCTAGCCTCGTTAAGATGAATCCTTTCTACTTACTCAAAATTTAATTCAAAAAGTAACAGAGACTGAAATAAAGAGAATTTCAAGGAAGTTTGAATTCAGGAGTAATATTAGAAAGTCTGGATTAAATAAAGATCGTACTTTCTTAGGCATTTGCTTCATTAAATCTTGAACAATAATTATTATGTGTGTATATGTTGTATACATATGATGTAGAAGGAGGAGCTTTTTCCCTCCTTTTACCATGTGCTCAAGAATAAAAAGCAGGTTGTCAGATTTACATGGTAAGTGCTTGTACCTGATGAACCATCTCCTGGACCCTATCCTGGGTATTATGAATATAGAAATTTCTTTCTTTTTATAAGAATTTTACTTATTTATGTTACATCCAGATCGAGGGCCCCCCTCTCCTCTCCTCTCCCTCCCACCCTTCCACCCTCTTTCTCTGTTTTCCCCCTCCCCTTCTCCTCAGAAAAGGGAAGCCTGGCCCCCTTCCCTGGGACATCAAGTCACATCAGGACTAAGAGCATCCTCTTCCACTGAGGTCAGACAAGGCAGCCCAGCTAGAGGACAGTGATCCAAAAGCAGGCGACAGAGACCATGTTAGAGACGGCCCGGTTCCAGTTGCTAGGGGATCCTCATGTAGAGCAAGCTGCCCATCAGCTACATATGTGTGGGGGCCTAGGTCTAGTCCATGCCTGCTCTTTGGTTGGTGGTTCGGTCTCTGTGAGCCCTCATGGGCATAGATTAGTTGACTCTGTTGGTCTTTGGTGGAATGCCTTCTGGGTCCTTCTATCCTTCCCCCAACTCTTCCACAAGATTCTCTGAGCTCCTTCTAATGTTTGGCTGTGGGTCTCAGCATCTGTTTTGAATCACTGCTGCCTCTTAGAGGACAGTTATGCTAGGCAGGTCCTGTGTGCAAGCATCAATAGTGTCAGGGGTTGGCTTTCTCCCAGGGGGTGGGTCTCAAGTTGGGCCAGTCATTGTTTGGCCATTCTCTCAATCTCTGCTCCTTATTCCTGCACATCTTGTAGGCAGGGTAAATTTTGGGTTGAAAATTTTGTGGGTGGGTTGGTGTCCCCCTCCTTTCACTGGAAGTCCTGCCTGGACACAGGAGGTGGCCACTTAAGTCTCCATATCCCCCCACACACATACTAGGAGTCACACCACCATATCCTTACAGGAGCCTACTCCATCACAGGTCTCTAGCTTGTCCCAGAGATGTACCCTCATCTGTTTCCCTTCTTTCTCACGGCCCTGCTCTTCCCACACGTGATCCCTACCCTTGTTCTCCTCTGCACATTCTCTCCCACCCAGTTCTCTCTCTTCATCTACTTCTGATATCTATTTTATTTCTTTTTCTGAGTGAGATTCAAGCATCTTCCCTTGGGCCCTCCTTGTTACTTAGCTTTTTTGGGTCTGTGGATTATAGTATGGTTATCCTATATTATATGGCTTATATCCACTTATAAGTGAGTACATACCATGTGTGTCTTTCTGAGTCTGGGTTACCTTACTCAGGATATTTTCTAGTTCCATCCATTTACCTGTAAATTTAATGATGTCCTTGATTTTAATAGCTAAGTAGTGAGGGTGGGATCGGGAGGGGAGGAGGGAGGGGCTTATGGGGGGATACAAAATGAATAAAGTGTAATTAATAAAAAAAATAGCTAAGTTGTATTCCATTGTGTAAATGTACCACATTTTCTTTATCCATTCTTCCATTGATACTGCAAACAATTCTTCCATTGTTTCCAGTTTCTGAATATTATGAGTAAAGCTGCTATGAACATAGTTGAGCAAATGTCCTTGTGGTATGGTGGAGCATCTTTTAGGTATATGCCTAGGAGTGGTATAGCTGTGTCTTGAGGTAGAACTATAAAACTATTCCCAATTTTCTGAGAAAGCACAAGATTGATTTCCAAAGTTGTTGTACAAGTTTTTACTCTCACCAGTAATGGAGGAGTGTTCCTCTTGCTCCACATCCTCACCAGCACCCGCTGTCACTTGGAGTTTTTGATCTTAGCCATTCTGACTGGTGTAAGATGGAATCTGAGTCATTTTAATTTACATTTCCCTGATTAAAGACATTGAACATTTCTTTAAGTGCTTCTCAGCCATAAGAGATTCCTCTGTTTATTATTCTCTCTTTGGCTCTGTACCCCATTTTTAAATTGGATTATTTGGTTTATTGGTGTTTAATTTCTTGAGTTCTTTATATATTTTGAATATTAGCCCTCTGTCAGATATAGGTTTGGTGAAGATCTTTTCCCAATGTACAGACTGCTGTTTTGTTCTACTGACAGTGTCCTTTGCTTTACAGAAGCTTTTCAGTTTCATGAGGTTCCATTTATTAACTGTTGACCTGTTGGTGTTTTGTTCAGGAAGTTGTCTCCTGTACCAGTGAGTTTAAGGCTATTTCCCACTTTTTCTTCTATTAGATTTAGTGTATCCAACTTTATGTTGAGGTCTTTGATCCACCTGGACTTAAGTTTTGTGCAGGGTGATAAATATGGAACTACTTGCATTCTTCTATATGCAGATATCCAGTTAGACCAGCATTATTTGTTGAAGATGCTCTTTTTTTCCACTATATGGTTTTGGCTTCTTTGTCAAAAATCAGGTGTCTGTAGGTATGTGGGTTTATTTTCTAGGTCTTCAATTTGATTCCATTGATCAACTTGTCTGGTTTTTATGCCAATACCATGTGGTTTTTAATTACTATTGCTTTGTAGAGAAACTTGAAATCAGGGATGGTGATACCTCCAGAAGTTCTTTTCTTCTACAGGATTGTTTTGCTACCCTGGGTTTTTAATTTTTCCATATATAGTTGAAAATCGCTCTTTCAAGGTCTGTAAAGAATTGTGTTGGAATTCTGATGGGAATTGCATTGATTCTGTAGATTTCTATTGGTAAGATGGCCATTTTAAATATGTTAATCCTACTGATCCATGAGCATGGGAGATCTTTCCATTTTCTGTTATCTTCTTCAATTTCTTTCTTCAGAGACTTGAAATTTTTGTCATATAGGTCTTTTACTTGCTTGGTTAGTTATAATATTTTATATTATTTGTGGATATGGTGAAAATGGTAAAAGGTGCTGTTTCCCTAATTTTGTTCTCAGCCTGTTTATCATTTGTATAAAGTAGGGCTACTGATTTTTTAAATTTTGTATTCAGCCACTTTGCTGAAAGTGTTTATCAGCTGTAGGAGTTCTCTGGTAGAATTTTGGGGTCACATATGTTTACTATCATATCACTTGTGAATACAGATAATTTGATTCCTTTCCAATTTGTATCACCTTGATCTCCTTTGTCTTATTGCTCTAGCTAGAACTTCAAGAACTATGCTGAAGAGATACAGAAAATGGACAGCCTTGTCTTGCCCTTGGTTTTCATGGAATTGTTTTAAGTTTCTCTTCATTTAATTTGATGTTGGCTATTGACTTGCTGTATTTTGTCTTTATTATGTTTAGGTATGGGCCTTGTCTCCCTAACCTCTCCAAGATTTTTATCATGAAGGGGTGTTGGATTTTGTCAAAGGCTTTTTCAGCATCTAATGAAATGATCATGTGGTTTTTTTTCTTTCAGTTTGTTTATATGGTTGATTACATTGATGGATTTTCATATGTTGAGCTATCCCTGCATCCCAAGGATGAAGCCTACTTGATCATGTTTTTTATGTGTTCTTGGATTCAGTTTGCGAGTATTTTGTTGAGTAATTTTTGCATCAATGTCCATGAGGGATATTGATCTGAAATTCTCTTTCTTGGTTGAATCTTTGTGTGGTTTACATACCAGGATGACTGTGGCCTCACAGAATGAGTTTGGCAATGTTCGTTTTGTTTCTATTTTGTGGAATAGTTTGTGGAGTATTAATGTTAGCTTTTCTGGTAGAATTCTGCCCTAAAACTATCCGGCCCTGGGCTTTTGTTGGTTGGGAGACTTTTAATGACTGCTTCTATTTTCTTAGGGATTATAAAACTATTTAAATTGTTAACCTGATCTTGATTTAACTTTGGTAAGTGGAGCCTATCAAGAAAATTGTTCATTTAGATTTTCCAGTTTTGTGGAGGACAGGCTTTTGAAGTAGGACCTAATGATTCTTTGGATTTCCTCAGTGGCTGTTATTTTTCCCTTTTCATTTCTGATTTCGTTAATTTGGACACTCTCTCTGCCTTTTAATTAGTTTGTGTAAGGGTTTGTCTACCTTGTTGATTTTCTCAAAGAACCAGCTCTTGGTTGATTCTTTGTATTCTCTTTGTTTCCAGTTTATTGATTTCGGCCCTTAGCTGGATTATTTCCTGCCATTTACTCCTCTTTGGTGTCCTTGCTTCTTTTTGTTTGAGAGCTTTCAGATGTGCTGTAAAGTTGCTTGTATGAGATCTCTTCAATTTCTTTATGAAGGTGCTGAGTGTTATGAACTTTCCTCTTAGCACTGTTTTCATTGTGTCCCATAAGTCTGGGTATGCTCATTGCTCATTTTCATTGAATTCTAAAAAGGCTTCAATTTTTTTTCTTTATTTCTTTCTTGACTCAATAGTCACTGAGTAGAGTTGTTTAGTTTCCATGAGTTTGTAAGCTTTTTTTTTTTTTTTTTCAAGATAGGGTCTCTCTGTGTAGCCTTGGCTGTCCCAGACTTACTTTGTAGACCAAAACAGGCTGGCTTTGGACTCACAGAGTCCAAAGGGATCATAGGCACGCACCACCTCCCCATTTTAGTTTGTAGGCTTTCTGTTGTTGCTGAAGTCCAGCTTTAGTCCATGGTGGTTTGATAAGATACAAGGGATTATTTCAATCTCCTTGAACAAGCGTTCAAGGTGCTGTGACTGAGTATATGGCCAAGTTCAGAGAAGGCTCTGTGTGTTGCTAAGAAGAAGGCATATTCTTTTGTGTTTGGGTGAAATGTTCTGTAGATATCTGTTAGGTCCATTTAATTCAAAAGCCAGTTAGTTTCATTATTTCTCTGTTTAATTTCCATCTCACCGATCTGTCCATTGGTGAGAATGGGCTGCTGAAGTCTCCCATTATTAATGTGTGAGGTTCAATGTGTGATTTAAGCTTTAGTAATGTTTCTTTTAAGAATGTGGGTGACCTTGCATTTGGGACATGGATATTCAGAAGTGAGATGTCCTCTAGGTGGACTTTTCCTTTGATGAGTATGAAGTGTCCTTCCCCATCTCTTCTGATTATTTTTAGTTGAAAGTCTATTTTCTTAGATAATAGAATGGTTACACCTGCTTGTTTCTTGGGTCAGTTTGCTTGGAAAATTTTTCCCAGCCCTTTATTCTGAGGTAATGCTTACCTTTGTTGCTGAGTTGTGTTTCTTTTATGCAGCAGAATGATGGATTTTGTTTTCACATCTACTTGGCTAGCCTGTGGGGAACTGAGTCCATTGCTGTTGAGAGATATTAATGACCAATGACTGTTGAATGCTATAATTTTGATGTTGATGTATTTTTAGTTTTGCTTGTGTGAAATTATTTCCTGTGTTTTCTTGGGTGCAGTTAGTGTGTGTTGGGACTTTTACTTCTAGAGTCCTCAGTAGGGCTGAGTTAGTGGAAAGACTGTTTAAACTTGGTTTTGTCATGTTTTCTCCATCTATGGTGATTCAAAGTTGTGATGGATATAGTAGTCTGGGCTGACATCTGTGGTCTCTTAGGGTCTGCAAGGTATTTGCTCAGGTCCTTCTAACTTTTAGAGTCTCTGTTGAGAAGTCTGGGTAATTCTAATAGGCCTGCCTTTATATGGTACTTTCCCCTTATCCCTGGAAGATTCTAGTTTTCTTTGTTCTGTAGATTTAGTGTTTTGATTATTATGTGATGGGAAGATTTTCTTTTTTGGCCCAATCTCTTTGGTGTTCTGGAAGCTTCTTGTATATTTATAAGCATCTCTTTCTGTAAGTTAGGGAACTTTTGTTTATGATTTTGTTGAAGATATTTTCTGGGCCTTTGAACTGGGAATCTTCTTCTATTACTATTATTCTAAGGTTTGGCTTTTTTCATAGTGGGCCAAAGTTCCTGGATGTTTTGTGTTAGAAACTTTTTAGATTTAACATTTTCTTTGACTGATGTATTGATTTTTTTTCAATTGAATCTTCTGTGCCTGAGAAGTCTCTTTCATCTCTTGTATTCTGTTGGTGATGCTTACATCTGTAGTTCCTGTTCTCTTTTGTAGGTTTTCCATCTCCAGGACTGCCTCAGTTTGTGTTTTCTTTATTGCTTCTATTTCCATTTTCAGGTCTTAAACATTAGTTTTATTCATTTCCTTCTCTTATTTGCTTGTATTTTTCTGTATTCAAGGGATTTATTCATTTCCTTCACCTGTTTGATGGTATTTTCTTGTATTTCTTTGAGGGATTTATTAATTTCCTCTTTAAAGGCCTCTGTCATCTTCATAATATTAGATTTATGGCCATTTTCTTGTACTTTAGGTTTCTTAGGATATCCAGGTCTTGTTGTAGTAGGATAGCTGGGTTCTGGTGGTGCTATACTGCCCACCAGTTTTGTTGAGTGTATTCTTATGCTGGCATTTAGCCATCTGGTTGTTCTTGGTGTTGGCAGGCCTGGTGGTCCCTGATAGCAGTAGGCCTTTGAGATTGCAGGTATGGCTGGGGCCTGGGAACTGGCCTATGGAGGACAGGATGGAGACTATACTACTGCTGGATTGCCTGGAAGGACCTGGCTGGTAGGCCCTGATTGCTGACAGCCTCTGGGATTACAGGAAGATCTAGGACCCAAAAACGGTGTGCAGAGGCCATGGGACAGACCTCACCACTGCTGGGTTTGCCAGAGGGACCCAGGAGGCAAGGAATTGGTAGTCCCTGATGGCTCTGATGGCTGCTGCCTATGGGGTTGTGGGAATTGCTGGAGCCTGGGAAATGGCACATGAAGGGCATGAGCAGACCTTACTGCTATTTTTTAATTAAAAAAATTTATGTGTATGGTCTGTATATACATATATGTACCACATGTGTGTCTGGTGTCTGTGGAGGTGAAAAGAGATTGTTTGGATCCCTGGAAATGCAGTTACAGGTAATTGTGAGCTGGTGTGTGGGTGCTGGGAACCTAACTTGGGTTCTCTGCAAGAGCTGTAAGTATTCTTAACTGAGCCATCTTTCCAACCCCCCAAATGTGGATTTTTTTTAAACAGGGAAGAATTATGTGAACTTAATACCTATTTACCCAGTATAGGCTCAAATGTTTATGGAATATATCTGAATTCCATTCCCTATGCTGTTCTTAGCACTGTTTTCTCCTTCTCTACCCATTTTCTTTTAGGTTCCTGAAATACAGTTTTTTTTTTTTTTTTCTGATCTTCTGATTTTTAAATTAATGCCTTGACAATGAGATGACCTTGTCTTAGCCCCTTTAATGGACCTGACATTTACTTAGAGTATTTTGATACCAGTGATTACTCCATGGAAATACCTGTTTTGTTTCTGTATACCTGTATCTCATCTTTTAAAATATCCTTAAAATCTCTTTAGCGCACATGTGTCTCAGTGTGGTGGCATGTGATATGAGAACAGGTGCCAGAAGCTGGGTCACCTGTGAATCCTGTTCATGGGCTGTTGTGAATCTCCTGACATGGATGCTGAAAACCAAAGTCAGATCCTCCAGAAGAGCAGTAGTTTCAAGTTATTCTTAATTTCTTGTTTGCAACCAGGCCTAGGAGTAGCATGAGATAAGTGAGGTGCTTTGAACACAAAATTTACAGAGTCATACTTACTTCAGCATCAGGCCGAATGCTATCTAATTAATCAAACCAATTGTTTTTGTCACAATGGAGAGAGCAGGAATACTTTGACATTTATTTCACTTACTGTTTTTCCATGGCAGAACATAGGGCAGAGACTTGGGAACTCGCATGCCTGAAGCCAGGTTACTCTTATGTTCCATAACTATGTTGTTTGCAGGACTGAAAAAAAAAAAAAAAAAGGGAATAATTTGATGCCATCATACAAGTGGGAGACAGTATGTGGTTCTGAGAATCCAACCTGAGTCCTCCAGAAAAGCAGCCAATTCTCTAAGTACCGAACCCCTACAATTTAAAGCATTTTATGAGTGCTGGAGAGGTGGCTCAGCAGTTAAGATCATGTACTGCTCTTCCAGAGGACCTGAGTTTGATTTCAACACCTACATGAAGCGGTGCACAACCACCTGTATGTAGTCCCACCTCTGGCCTCTGGGCACTACCACTCATGTGCACATATCTACATACACATAATTAAAAATAAAAATAAAATACAAAATTAGGTATTTGATTTTGGGAAAGGGAAAAGTATACCATTTTATTCCTTCATTCTATAACCCTGAAATAGTATCATTTGCATTTGAAACTTGACCTTCTATGGTTTGAAAGTTGGTGCAATGCAAAATCTTACAATTCTAAATTGGATACAAAATGTAAGTACTAAAAAGAGATTTATTTTCTTTCTTACTCATTAGATACACACTCTGGACTTCCTAACCTCAAAGAACTGTCAGGGTTTAGAAAAATTTACAAGTGTATGTGCACACGTGTGTGGGAAGCCACAGAGCCTAGAAGGGGGTATGGATCTCATGGAGCAACAAATGCTCTTAACCCCTCAAGTCATCCCTCTAGCTCCCCTTTTGAGACAGAAGGTTTCTCTGTGCATCCCTGGATGTCCTGGAACTTGCTCTGAAGACCAGGCTGGCCACAAACTCAGAGATCCACCTGCCTTTGTCTTCAAAGTGCTGGCATTAAAAGCATGTGCCACCACATGGCCTCCAGTCCTCTTTTAATTTTGAAAAACATATTTGTGTGGCAGTTTGTGAACGACTGTGCACACAACAGCATGTATACAGAGGTCAGAGAACAACTTTCATGAATCTGTTCTCTTCTTTCACTATGTGGGCCTGGAGACCAAACTCAGGTGGTCAGGCATGGTTACAAATGCCTGTACTCACTAACCTGTCTCACCAGCCATAAGGATTGTTCCCTACCCCAAGCATTGGTTATCTAGGATTACAACAGTCTAAGTGGTATAACTGGGTAACTTTTTTCAGTCTTGAAATAACACAAACCTAGCAAAAGAAACAAAACTCCAAACAATTGAAATACAGGAACACCAAGAAATATAAGAATTGAAATATAAGGCACTATTGCTTTTCTTATTAGATTATAAAGCAGTATTTATTATAGTTCCAGTTTTAAGTCCATGTCTTTATGAATCAAAGAACAAGTAAGGCTTAACAATTAAGAGTACTTGCTGCTCTTACAGGGTACTGCAGCTTGCTTCCCAGTTCCCATGTCAGGTGACTCAAAACTGCCTATTTCTCCAGCTCAAGGGTATCTGACAACCTCTTCTGGCCTCCAAAGAACACACAGACAGACAGACAGACAGACAGACAGACACACACACACAAATAAGAACCCAGCTCCAAACAATATTTGTTACCAAGTATCTTCGTCAAGGAAAGAGGGTGGCCTGCATTATTATTTATTTATGTGATCCTTTGAATAGGTTTGGCCCCTATAGATTGCTGTGTTTGGATGCTTGGTCCACAGAGAATGGCACTATAGGAGTATAGTATGGCTTTGTTGGAGTAGGTATGGCCTTGTTGGAGAGGGTATGTCAGTGCGGGGGAGTGGGCTTTGAGGTTTCCTAGGCTTAAGCTCCAGCCAGTGTAAAATTTTAGTCTCTTCCTGGCTGCCTTTGGACAGAAATGAAGAATTCTTGGCTCCTCCAAGCATTATGTCTGCCTGGATACTGCCATGCTTCCCGCCATAACGATAATGGACTAAGCCTCTGAAACTGTAAGCCACCCCCAATTAAATATTGTTCTTTATAACAGTTGTCTTGGTCATGGTGTCTCACACCCAAGACTGACTGACTGACTGACTGACTGACTATCTCTCTCTCTCTATCTATCCATCCATCCATCCATCTATCCGACAGGGTTTCTCTGTATAGCCTTGGTTGTTCTGGAACTCACTTATTAGACCAGGCTGGTTTCAAATTCAAGAGATCCTCCTGCCCCTGTCTGGAGTGCTGGGATTAAAGACAAGCACCACCACACTCAGGTCTATTATTTTTTGTCACACACTTGGATTTGGGGAGGTAGTGGTGAGCGTAAGACCACTGAATTTACCTGTTGTTGCCACAGAAACTGGCTGTGCCCCAGACAAATGGGGTGCTAGTTTGTTCCCATAAATCTGCCAAAGGAAGCAAAATTATTTGTGATACTACTAGATAAAACACCAATTCATGTTAGTTGAACTTGTCAGATGGGAAATAATACAGCTAAGTTTTGGGGGTTGTAAGTAAAAATTGATTGAGTGCCCCACCCAAGTGATACAGAAGCAGGAATTTAACAGTGAAGAATATAAACACAAGAGCCATTAATAATAATAAATGTGCACAGATGGTGCAACACAATTTATGGGGAAAACAGATGTAAAGAAGCGCTTCCTGCAATCAAGGGAGATGGGCTGTTCTAAGTATCAGCACAGTGATAGCAATGTGCTCATTTTGGGACCCAATAAAAATAAGGCATTCTGAACAACATGGCATGTTCATAAAAAAGAAAATCTTCCTTCTGTCTTAAGCAAATGATTTGAGATTTAAACAGGTAAAGAAAAAAATGTAGAGGCATCTCACCTTTATCCCAGTCTTCATCACAAGGAGGGCACTGCCATGTGCTCTCAGCCAGAGTCTCTTGTCCAAGGTTCCTGGTTTGGTTGACTGTAAGACAACAGAGATTTGATACACAGAGGGTGGGGTAGTGGACCTGCTGGGTTATTCTGCTTAAGGTATTTAAGGCCTTTAAAGGCTTCAGGGTAGTCTGCTGGCTTATTGAGTCTCTGTTTCTAAATATGGATAGGATAAAAGCTGATAGGACGAGAAACAGACACAAAGACTGTTACCTTATTCATGGCAATAGCAGGATTATCTATTTACTGAGACAAGGTCTAGCGTTTCTGGCTGGCTTCAGACTCAAAATTGACCTTAAACTTCAGATCTTCTTGAGTACTGTGATTACGAGTCAATGCCACCATGCCCATGATTTTTGTGGTACAGGATATGGAACTCAGGGCTTTATCCATGCAAGGTCAGTACTCGACCCACTGAGCTCCATTTCCTAAAATCATTTTAGATGATTTATTGTAATAAAATCAATCAGGCTGTTCAGAAAAGAAAACAGTCTGACCTATTCAGACACTACTACAATTCAGTGACTACTATTCAGTCACTGCTACAATGCCATAACCACATCATCATCTCAAAGGCAGAAAAATGTTCTGAATGGTAAAAGCCAGAAAGCAAGCCAATGATGTATTGTGATTCCAAACTGACTGGCTAACCCCAAATCCTGGGATACTGTAGTTAGTCAGGCTTACCCACATCCTGCTCAATACAGCTTTTGTCATCACAGCTTGAGATATGATGACTGATTTCAGCCCGGGGAACCTGGTGCCGAGCATTGAAGGGACAAGTAGCCAATTTGTTTGCGACATCAGGATGATTCTGTGGAATAAAAATTAAGGGATCCATCAATTCTTGGGATCTCATAAAATTCAAGAAAACTAGCCCAGCCTTTTTCTATAAATGGCTCCCTGAAATCTTTCCGCAAATTTATGTCACAGCTATGGTGGGTACACTCAGCCATGGTAGAGACACTCATCACAGAAACCTAAGAGGGATTTATTTATCACCCATACAGACCATGCAGCTACTATCTCAGTATCTTCAAAAATGCAAACCTTTTGCTTATGACTGTAGGGATAACAGTACACAATGGGATTTCAGTGGCTTCTAAAGAGCAAAGCCGTCAATATGAACCACCTCTTCTCCCTGTTTATCAGACAGCACAGCCTGAAGTGCTGCAGCTCTCGGGGTGTCAGGGCCAACAATGGGCGCTGCAGCAGTGCCTGGCTTTCGCAATGGCGATGGGAAATAGCTGTTGTAAGGGGCTGCAGAGATAGGCTAATGATTTCCAGAACAACACAGGGACACTGATTTAAAGTAACGACGCCTGGGATGAGGCCCAGAACAACTTAACTTTTTATTTTTTGAGGCAAGGTTTCTCTGTGGAGCTGGTGCTGTCCTGGAACTTGCTCTGTAGACCAGACTGCCTCTGTCTCCCAAAGGCTGAAATCAAAGGCATGCATCAAACTGGCCAGGGAGCAGCTTAACCTTTATTTCAGCTATTTCACTTAGTAAAAGCTCAAATGATATTCACTTTGTAAGCCAGTACCTTGTTTTAAACCTAAACAAAGGATTTATTATCACCAAAATGTCATGGCAAATGTACCAGCAATTAAGAAATTAAAAAGAAAATAAAAAGGGCCTGGAGAGACCTAGAGAGATGGCTCAGGAGTTAAGAACACTGACTGGAAACCTGACAACTGTCTGTAACTCCAGCTCTAGGCAATCTGAGTACACACACACACACACACACACACGCACACACACACACACACACACAAATACACACACTAAAGAAAAAACAAAAAAGAGGGGTAAAGAGATGGCTCAAGTCTAACAACCTGAGTTTAATATCCAGGACCTACATGGTAGAAGAGGCTTGATTCTTGCAGGTTGTTCTATTTCACATGTATACCGTGGCACACACATATGTGCAAACATACACTAAAATGTTTTGTTATTGTTTTAAAGAGAAAAAGAACATAAAGTTGGGTGGGTAGGAAGGTCGGAGAACATGATCAAAATATATGAGAAAACTTTTTCAATAAAAAAAGTTTTAACGATGAATTATAAAAAAACTCAAGATGTAAAACTAGTGAGAAGCAGGCTGGAAAAATGCAGGACTAAGAAACTTGTATGGGTCTGGCCCATACACTGGGCCATCATAAGGACCTTAGTTTGGATTCCTGCACCCAGTAAGAAGCTGCCTGTAATGCCAGCACTGGTAGGTAGCAAAGACAGAAGGTAGCTTGCTGATTGCCGGTCTCGTTGACAAAAACAAAAAAACAAACTCACCAACAAAAAAAAAAAAATACAAAAACAAAAAACATAAACTCCAGGTTCAGGAAGAGACCCTGTCTCAAAAGAACAAGGCTGAGTGATATATGAGAACACTCTATGCCCTCTTCTCGCCTCCTCTGGTGCACACACATGCACTAAACTACATATACCATATGCACATAAAGTAAACTGTAGCCAGGCAGAGTGGAACAGACTTTCAATCCCAGCACTTGGGAAGGGAAGGTAGAGAGAGATCTGTAGGTAAAGGTCCTCCTTAACTAGTGAATTGAGACCAGCCTTGGCTACAAGAAGTCCTACTTCAAAAACTGAAGTGCCCCCTCCCCTCCAAAACTCCAAGCAAGCCAGCAAGCACAAACAAAAGCAGCCTGTGGCTCAGGCCTATGATACCAGCTACAAGGAGGCTAAGGCAGAAGGATGGAAAGTTCAAAGTTGGCCTGGGCTACAAGTTCAACCTTGGGCAACTTAGTGAGATCTGTCTCAAATTAAGGGCTGGCAACACAGCTCAGTGGTAAGAGGCCTTAGATTCAATCCCCAGGGCTAGCCCCTGACTCCCCTCCCCACCCCTCAAAAAAAAAAAAAAAAAAAGAAAAAAGAAAAATAAAATTTATGAAATACACTCTCCATTATATATATAAGGCATTTAGACAATGAATGCAAAGCTTTTTGGAGGGAGGGTCTTACTATAAAGCCCTGAATGGACTTGAATTCATGGCAATCCTCCTGCCTTAGCTTTGCAAGTGGTAGGATCATAGGCATGCACCACCATACCTACTTAGGAGAAACAGCTTAAAATATTTTATTTAATTATTTTAAATGTGTATGAGGTACTCTCCTGGAGATGTAAGACATTTGATGTAAATTTGGGTACGCTGGAAAAACAACACAGGTGTTCTTAACTGTTGGTCATCTTTCTAGCCCTTCTCTTTTTTGAAACAGGATCTATGTAGCCCTGGCTACCGTGGCACTTACTATTAGACCAGGCTGGCCTTGAGATCACAGATTATCTCTGCCTCCTGAGTGCTAGGATTAAAGGCATAAGCCATCATGCCCAGCTAATACTTAGATATTTTTATAAACATGGATGTTTTGCTTGCATGAATGTGTATGCATATTTGTGCCTTTTCAGGAGAGTGGGTCAGATTCTCTGCAACTGGAGTTACAGATGTTTGTAAGCCACCATGTGGTTGCTGGAAATCCAACCTAGGCCTTCTGCAAGAACAAGTACTCTTAACCACTGAGTTAGCTCTCCACCCCCCCCCCCTCAGTTATTTGAGACAAGGTCTTTTTTCTTTTTTAAGATTTATTATTTATACAGTATTCTGCTTGCATGTGTGCCTGCAGGCCAGAAGGTGGCACCAGATCTCATTATAGATGGTTATGAGCCACATGTGGTTTCTGCGAATTAAACTCAGGACCTTTGGAAGTATAGCCAGTGCTCTTAACCTCTGGGCCATAGCTCCAGCCCCCAAACAGGATCTTATGTATTCCAGAAGGTCACTTTATAGTTTAACTGTCCTTGACCTCAAGACCATCCTGCCTCAACTTTCTAATCACAACTGTCTGGATTACAGGCGTGTGTCACCATGACTGTTTGGTTTGTGCGCTTCCTTGTTTTGAGACAGTCTTATGTAGCCTAGGCATCCAATGTGCTATATAGTTGAGGGTAACCTTGAACTTCTGATTCTCCTGCCTCTACCTCTTTAGTGCTGGGATTATAGGCATGCTTTTATGTGGTGCTAGAGACTGAATCGATTATTTAAGATAATAAATTATATGTAATTTGGATTAAATTCTAAACTTTTGGTGTCTGTATCTGACAATGGTATTCTTTAAAAAAAAGGCACTAAAGAGACTGCTCAGAGGTTAAGAGCACTGCTGCTCTTGCAGAGGATGTGGATTCAATCCCACTGCCCTCATGGTAGGTTACAACTATATATAACTTCAGTTCCAAGGAGACCTGATGCCCTTTCATAAAGTTGCCTCAGTCACCAAGTGTGCACGTGGTGTACATCAGGCAAAACACATAGACATAAAATGTAAATCTTAAATTTTAAAAAGATCTTACTTTGATGGTGTGTGTGTGCGCGTGCACACATGTGCACATGAATACAGGTGCCTGTGGCCTGTGGAGGGCCAGAAAAGGGCACTGCATTTCCGATATTTGGAGTCACAGGCAGTGAGATGACTGATCTGGATGGTGGGAACTGAACTCAGGACCTCTGGAAGAGCAGCAATTGGTCTTACCACTGAGCCATCTCTCCAGCCTTGACCTCAGTATTCTTTTTGTTTTAAGATTTTATTTATTTACTTTATGTATGAGTGTTCTATCTGCATGTGCACCTGCATGAAGAAGAGGGCATCAGATTCCAGTATAGATGGCTGTGAGCCACCATGTGGTTCCTGGGAATTGAACTCAGGACCTCTGGAAGAGCAGACAGTGCTCTTATCTGGTAAGCCATCTCTCCAGCCCCCAACATCAGTATTCTAACAACCCTGTACGAGTACTTTTTAACTAACAAAGAACTAGAATAGGTTACATTAGCTAAGTCTATAAAGAATTAACTAGAAAGAAAATGCTAATTAAAAAAATAGAGATGGCTCAGTGGTTAACAGTGCTTACTGCTCTTGCCACTGACCTAGGTACAGTTCCAGTACCTACATGGTGGCTAAGAACTGCCTGTTTACTCCAGTTCCAAGGGCTCTGATGCCCTCTTCTGGCCCTTATGGGCACCCGTGTGCACACTGCGCATATAAACTCACACAGGTAGACAGATATACACATAAAAAATATCTTAAAAAAATAAGGATACTGGGTACTGGGGTGTATACCTGTATCTCCTTACTCAGGGAGGCAGAGGCAGGTGGATCTCTGTGAAGTTCGAGGCCAGCTACAAAGTGAGTCAGGACAGCTAAGCCTTCATAGAAAAATTGTCTTGAAAAAAGCAAAACTAAAATAAATGAATAAATGAAAAATTGAAAAATAAAAAGATGTTGCAATGAACATTTGTTATTAAAGCTGTATGGACAGAAGGGTATATTGTAGGACACACTGTGACATATTATAGCTTCCAAAACAAGATGTTTTCTATACTTTGTTTTGTTTACTTATTTATTTATTTTGTTTGTATGTGTTTTATTTTGAGGAGGGTTGCAAGGGTAAAGGGTGAGAAGGGTGGATGAGAGGTGGTGAGTATGACTGGGCTGTATGGTGTGAAACTCCCAAAGAATAAAAAGTTAAAAAAGAAATTTACCCCTAGTGATGCAGCCTTGCCAGGCCATGGAGGAAGAGGATCCAGGCTGTCCTGATGAGACCTAACAAGCTATGGGCAGATGGCAATGGTGGAGAACTCCCCCTTTCAGTGGACTAGGGGAAGGGGATGTGGGGAAGAGGGAGGGAAGGTGGGACTATGGGAGAGTTGAGGGACAGGGCTACAATTGGGATATATAATGAATAAATTGTGAAGAAAAAAATAAAAAAAATTAAGAAAAAAGATGTGCTGGGGCAGTGGTGGATCAGGAAAAAAATGTAACAGAGGGACTGCAGGGAAGGTCCATGGGCTAGAAATGTGATAGAGGGACTGCAGGGAAGGCCCATGGGCTAAAACCCTTGCTGCACTTTCAGAGGACCCAGGTTTGTTTCACGGCACCCACACAATAACAGTAATCCTCTAACTCCAGTCCCAGGGATCTAACCCACTCTTCAGACTTCCACAGGCACTAGGCACACACATGCTGCACATATATACATTGAATCAAAATGCTCGTATGCATAAAATAAATCTAAAATATTTTAAAAAGAAATAATGAACACGTCAAATTTATAAGGTAAGAGGGATTTCTCATTACTAGGAAAAAAATTAGTGATTCCTTTGTTTTCTAAAGGATAAGACTCTAGAGACACTGTTTATAAACACTGTTTATAAGCAATGTCTTGTTGCTAGTTAGGAGGAAGAAAATAAAAGATAAGAATTTTATATATTTCTAAGAATAAAACAAACACCTTAAACTTAACAAAGGCAGACTTGCCAAATAATCTGGCATTCAGTTAAAATATGTATGTTAAATGATTTGTTGCTTCTGAAGCTTGGCTCTTCAGGAGAACTCAAGATGGCATTAAAGGGAAAATAACGAAAACAATACCCTACCTTTCTGCACTTGATAAGATGATAAGGAAACCTGCAGGCCCTGATCTGGTGATTTTTATCATAGGGGCACTGTAATAACTTTTCAGGGTCCAGGGAGTCGACTGAAAGAGAAAAACCACAGTAAGTATAAAGTATAACAGGGCCCTGTAAAATTGCAGTAGTTTTTCACATAGTGTTTTCAATACATCCATAAATAAGAACAAGGCAGTCTAAAGAACAGTTAGACTGGCCTGGTGCTGGAAGAACACGCCTTTACTCCCAGCATTTAGGAGGTTGAGGCATGTGGAGCTCTGAGTTTAAAGGCGGCCTGGTCTACAGAGTGAATTCTAGGACAGCCAGGACTACACAAAGAAACCCTGTCTTGAAGAAAACAAAACAAACAAAAAAACCCAAAACCAAACCAAAACAAAAAAAGTGTGAGTAAAAGATTAAAAGTGAAATGGAACTATGAGACAATAAAATTGTGTTATCACTGACTCTTGTGGGTACAGCAGTACCCACAATGGTGTGCTGAGGTTTCATTCATTTGACTGAATATGGTTTTCATTCTTATTATAAAACAAAATTGTTAAATGACACCCACAGTATTTTTTCCTTTTGTTTTTATAATATTTATTTATTTATTATTTATACAGTACTCTGCCTACATGTGTGCCTGCACACTAGAAGAGGGCATCATGTATCATTATAGATGGTTATGGGCCACCATGTGGTTGCTGGGAATTGAACTCAGGACCTTTGGAAGAACAACGGTCAGTACTCTTAACCTCTGAGCCATCTCTCCAGCCTGCCCCTTTTCCTTTCTTAAAAATAACAATTTGGAGCCATTTCTATTCTCCAGCTACTCCAACCACACTTTCCCAACCCACTAAAGTTGGAATGGCTTGTTAATACACCAGTATAAATACTGTGGACCATTGCACTTTCGAACTCCACTCACCCAATCCAGCTGGCCATAGGAGAAGTTGAAAATAATCTCATTAGCATCCTTGTCTATTGCTAGTTAACAAATTGATATCAATATTGCTTCAACTGAATATCCTATGAAGTATTAATAAACTGAGCTCCCCCACTCTGTTCTCTGCTTTATTTCTGTATGTTCTATTGGCCACCCTAGTTTCCTTGACAATGATCTCATTACTTTTGTCAGGTAGGTGATTTTACTTTTCATGTTTTGAAACACAGATGAGAAAAAAGCAATCCTTAATCTCATGACTACCAAACTGTCCAGCTAAAATAAAAATAAACTGCAAAGACAGAACCTCACACAGCTAAGACAACTGTAAACACAGACTATAATGGCTAGAAAACCCTGAATCTATACCATGTTATTCAAAGCTGCCCTTAGGCTGTCTAAGCTGCCCAGGCTGTGCCCCAAATCTTAACAAGACTGGCTAAGGAAGGAAAATTAAATAGTTAAGCACATCCTGAGAACAAAAGGTAACCTAATAAAACACTCTAGAAACCCCTGAAGGTAAGAATAAAAGATAAATAATTCACCTTTGATAAAAAAGCTTATAAGACAGGAGACTGCAATGAAAATCAGAAACCACAGGGGAACTGAAACTGACAGTGTCACTGGAAGAGTGGTAAACATGGAATAAATTACTAACCATGGCTGTGATGCAAATCAGCCTGAAAGGTGATCTGAAGGACAGAACGAATAGGGAGGAAAAGTCCTAGAGGACGGGCACGCTTATTATGCCAACTGAGCTCTTAGCCAGCAATCTTTTCTTATTTCTGAAGCGCAGAACACCCAGGAACATTCACAGATGAAATTCTTATCAGTTTGCCTTCATTTAATCCATTCTATCACTAGCAAATGTTGGCAGTTGGCAGAATGGAGGTATAATTCACACATACTGTCAGCCCATATAGAGCATGTGTCAAAGTTGATCTTGAGGACTACCATGAATGCTTTCTTGGTCTGGCAATGTAGGTCAGCTCTAATTTACTGTTCTAAAAGACTTAGCAATCAATCAATCAATCAATCAATCAATCTACCTATCCTAGTCACCAATCTAATCAATCACTGTGTCTGTCTATCTATCTATCTATCTAATCTTGGTGTTGATGACAAAATTATGAGTCTTAAGAATGCTATACAAGTATTCTACCACTGGGTTACATCCCCAGTATTGTAAAAATATTGTATTTATTATTCTGTGTATGGTGTGTGTAAGTCAGAGGACAACTTTACAGCATCAGTTTTCTCTCCTACTTTTACATGACTTCTGAAACTCAAACTACAGCTGCCAGGCTTATATGGCTTGTCTGAGCCCTTTCGCTGACCTGTTGTCTTTTGATGGTCTTGGCTATGAAGCCCATGCTGGTCTAGAAGCTGTGATCCTTGTGACTCAGCTCCTATGAGCCAGGATTACAGTTGTACACCATTACAGTTGGTTCTCACATCTAATTACTTAAGTTTAAAGTATTTTGTTTCAGACCATTTTCTCAAGGTAATATGGCTGTAGACTAAAGTGTTGTACTTAAAATTTGAACATTTTGTACCTCAACATCACAAAGAACTTTCTCAGAATTTCAGGGAGGAATCTGAATTTTTCACAACATACACAGTCTAGTCAGGCATCAAACTATACATGAATGATGTATTATTTTTTAAAAGGAGAAAGTAGTACATACTGTAAGTGTCTTCCATGCTGATGGCAAAGAACACCTGTTCAAGTGCTGGAGAAAAAAAGCATGGTTCAAAGAATCAGAAATGAAATGCAACAAAAGGCAGCCCATAATGTCGAGTCACTCCTGGAACTGAAGCTGCCCAAGTTCAATAAAACAAACCCTTAGTACACAACCTTCTTTTCTAAACACTTCTCTTCTTTAAGGCATTCTTTATTTCTATGACTAATTTTAGCATCACCTCATAATTCACATTCTTGGAATAAACTTTAGGGCCCACAAACAGCTAGGTCAAACATGACTACTGACAAACTATATTCAGGTGACAACATATATATTTTAAGTGATATTACAACTGTTTATTTGTTATTAGGGTTTGATACTATTTAACATTAGTAATAGGGGTCAAGTTGAGGTCATTAAAATACCATTATTTAAACATCTGGATAAACTACTTTAAAGCTCTTCTTTCCAGCTGGAAAGACGGTTAAGTGGCTAAAAGCCCTGACTGCTCTTATAGAGGATCTGTGTTTCCCAGCACCTACATAGCTTACAGCTGCCTTTAACTCCAGTTTCAGGGGTTCAAATGCCTTCTTCTGGCCTCTGTGGACATTGTATGCCCATGATGCACTCTTATAAATGCACATAAACACATAAAATAAAAAAAGAAAAAAAATTTTTTGGGGGGGCGGTTCAAGATAGGGTTTCTCTGTGTAGCCTTGGCTGTCCTGGACCCACTTTATAGACCAGGCTGTCCTGAAACTCACACAGATCCACCTGTCTCTGGCTTCCCAGAGTGCTGGGATTACAGTTGTGCCTGGCAAAAAATAAATCTTAATGACTTTTCTTAATCATGATCAGAAAATGTCACACCGATGTTTTTCCTTAAAAAAAAAAAAAGATTTATTTATTTTATGTCTGTGAGAGCTCTATCTGCACATAAACCTGCATGCCAGAAGAGGGCATCAGATCACATTATAGATGTTTGGGAGCTACCATGTGGTTGCTGAGACCTGAACTCAGAACCTCTGGAAGAGCTAAGACAGTGCTCTTAACCGCTGAGCTGTCTCTCTAGCCCATTGTTCTCCCTTTCCAGAGATGTTTTATTCTGTTCCTATCATACAATGGCAAGATGAGTACTGCTCCAGTCAGTATACTGGAGTCCCTCACTATACTGAGGGAACATACATGAATGTTAGGATTTAAGAGGTTACAGAGAGCTGAGTGTGGCGGTGTATGTCTTCAATCCCAGCCCTCGGGAGGCTGAGGTTGGGGTAGGCAGATCTAAGTTAGAGGCCGGCCTGGTCTACAGACTGAGTTCCAGGACAGCCCAGGCTACACAGAGAAACTATGTCTCACAAAACAAAACAAAACAAAACAAAACAAAACCAACCAACCAACCAAAAAACCCAAAGAGGTCACAGAGAACACCTAAGAAAACAAAAAGATTAAAAGAGAAAATGTCTCAGAGTTTGAATTCTCTTTTACTGGAAATCTCTATTATCACTAATTTAGTTCACGTATTATTACGGGAAAACTAATTTTGTATATAACCTCTCCCACAGGAATCTTCTGAAAACTGGATGCACACACAAGCTGTTGTCTCTAAGCAAGCTTTCCTTTGGCTTCTCATACAATTCCACAGCCCTTCCTCCATTCTATGACATAAGCAGCATTAGAACCTTTGTTAGGAAATACAGGTAATCAGCTAAATTCTAGCTTAGTGCTTTGCTGCAGAGCCCATTTGTTAAGGAAAATCACCAGAGAAGCTATAAATTATTCTTCATGTTTGGATTAAACTATCCTGACCTTATGGAACCGCTACTACAGTTATGTCATACTTTTTTAAAAATAAGAACGGTTTGGAAGGAAGAATCAAGTATTACTTTTTTTTTTTAATTTAAGCTATATAAAACAGTGATGAGTGAGATATTCAGCAACTTAAGAGAGCTGACCTATTCTTTCCTAGCGAACAGACTGATTACAAGGACTCTGGAATTCATAGAACCATCACTCAGCTGTCTCTTATCTTCCCCATCAAAATGTTACCAGGTGACTCGATTCCTTTCCCCATACTAGGCGGCAGTGAACTGGACAAAGTGAGAATCTGAAGCTACTGTTTAAATTCTGAAAATAGTCTCAAGTCTCAGTAAAGTAGTAATCTCTCTGCCTTTACAAAAAAGCCCCCCATATTTGAGGAAATTCAAGCAAAAAGGACCAGGCAAGGGGGAGGAGGTTACCTTGAAAACAAGGCAAAGATGCGAGGCAGCCCGTCGAGTAGACGACCGCCGACCGCCGACGCAGTCGGTGTTCGGGGCTAAGGCTGGGGAGTGAGGTAAGACACTACTTTGAAGGTATCTCACTCTCAAACTGCTTCCAAGGGCTGACCCAAGCCAAGACCCTACCGCCTTTTCTCGTTCCTACCTCAGTCCAGACGCTTTCCCCACTGACGACTTCGCCTCACAGCCAGACCCCGGCAACGCCCACTTCCGGTCTGAGGCCAGGGCGGGGACGCACTTCCTGTGACTGTGGCCTGCACAGGCCCAGTGCATCCAGCTGGTGCTGCCCTCTTCTTTTGGCTTTTCCTCCTGTCGCCAAGGGTATCTCCTGGGGGGTCTTTAGTTGCTTTGCTTTTAGCCACCACCCCTCTTCTAATCCCTGGTCTAAATGCCCTTAATTGGGTGGAGAATTTCCTTTGCTGACTTCTGGGTGGCCATCTTAGAAAAATCAGGGAAAGAATGGGATTGGTCAGTGTAGGGTGCTATTCACAAGAAAAGCTTTGTGGAAGTTGTTGAGACAGAAATGTAATTTAGATTTTCAGAGTTCAAAAGAGGAATGATGGAGACAGGAACAACAGATTAAGAAAAAGCAAGAAAGGCGGGGATTTTTTTGTCTGGTAATACATGTAGGCTCACAATTGAAAAGGTAATGGTAATGTCAGAATAGTTGGGAGGATGGTACATGTGCTGACTGGATTAAAGGGAGCTTTAGGCTAGAGAGGACATGTGGGTCAAAGAACTAAAAGCAGGAAACTCAAAACACTGTGAGCCTTTGTTCAGAAACCACACCATTCCCAAAACTGTTTGTATACCTACTTAAATATAGATAGTTGTCCTCAAAGTACTTAGAAAAACAGGTACTAAATTGGACTGGTGGTCAAATGGGAGTAAAACATACGCCAGGAAGTGGTAGGAACTGTAAATTCCTATAAGGAAGAAATTAGTAGAGCCTGAGATGACCTGCGAAAGCATCAGGGAGAAGGATTTATACTAGTAATTTTATAATATATAAATTTAGGCTATAAATTTTATAGCCTTTGAAAAGGTGGGTAGATTTGGTGACTCTATTTTAAAAACATCAAGTTGTAAAATACATTATATGTCAGAAAATTTTGTGCTGTCCAAAGCTTAGCAAGGCATGGTTTGTTTTTTGTTTTTTCAAGGCAGGGTTTCTCTGTGTAGCCTTGGCTGTCCTGGACTCAATTTGTAGAACAAGCTGGCCTGGAACTCACAAAGATCTGCCTGCCTCTGCCCCTCTGCCTTCCAAAGTGTTGGGATTATAGGGCTGTGCCACCATGCCCAGCACTTAGGCAGTTTAGAAGTTGGCTGGCTGCTAAAATACTGTGGGTTCTGACAGATATCAGTGGGTAAGAGCCTAAATACGAAAAGGGATCATCAGAATAGCAAAAACGAGGTAGCTCAGGTGAGTGTGACATTTTATTTTTACATGAATAATATGTAAATAAGTTACCAGTTCTGACCTCCTACAGTCAGCAGGCTGAAGAACATATGCTTCATAGCTTTCAGTACAGAATAAGACCCTAAAAGGAGCCAGAGGATAGAGGCACAAATCTGTCATCTCAGCAATTGGGAGTCTGAGGCAAGAGTATCTCAGTGGATCTGGCACCAGCTGGGACAGCCCAGTCTACAGAGACCCTGTCTCAAACCAAACCCAACCAAACCCCTAAAAAGAGATAGTTTGTGGATGGGTTCAAGATGGGTTCAAGTCATTCTTGTTGCAGGATAGTGGTTCTTAACCATGTCTGCACAATAGAATCATCCCAGGAGTGCCTAAGACACACTATGTCGTTTGGGTGATGGTGCACACCTTTGATCCCAGCACTCAGGAGGCAGAGGCAGGTGGATCTCTGAGTTCAAGGCCAGCCTGGTCTACAAAGAGAGGTCTAAGACTGAGAAGGCTACACAGAGAAAAACTCTGTCTCAAATAATGAAACCAAACCAAACAAAAACACTCCAAATCTATCCCCCCCAAAAGACATACATGTAAATTCCCCTTCTAGACCAGTTAATTAGAAGAGATCCAGGCATAGCTATTTTTAAAAACTTACCCAGATGATTCTATTGTGCATCCAGTCTAAGAACCACTAGGCACTGTCTTGAATTTACAAAAGCATCTCTTTCACCTAGATGGCTTGGATGATTCATAGGAGCGAGCTGTTAAGTGCTTTTTTCAGACAGCAATTGCTTCATTGAAAACTTAGCACAAAGCATTTTGGGAAAAGCTGACTTTTTTTACAAGTTCACTTCAGATCATTAGGAAACAAAAACAGTTCTTATAAGATCCTGAATTTTGCATTTATCACAATCATTCATGCAAAATTAGTGGGGCCAAGGCAGTTTGAACTAAATTATTTATTATTATTATTGGTTTTATACCACAGAGATTTGGTATAATTTTCTTCACGGTTGCTATGACCCTTAAGTACTTTTTATTTAGACACTTATTTATTTAGACACAGACTGACATTTCTGAGGAAGAAAGAGCTAAGGGCTTGAGGAAATGGGAACAGGGAGCTAGTCCTAAACTAGAACCCTTAATAGGCTCTGCTGTAGTCCCTGATGCCTTGCCAGATAGCAGGATTCTCAGCTGGTGGAGCTGCTCCATTTAGCACCAGCAGATAAGCCCAATATCTTATAAATAAAAGCCAAAGCTGTCTTTCAGTGGTGATTTGGAAATAAAGATTCACCATACATTTGCTCCTATTCTTAAATGCTTTTTTCATTCCTTTTCAATTAAAAACTTTATTCTTTATCTGAGATACTGCTGAATTTTCTTTCAGACTGTTTCTTTCTTTTCTTTTCTTTTGCCCAGTTGATAATATTTGAAAATGGAAAAACAATGAGACCAAGTAATTTACACAAGGGTCATTCTAGGAACTAGGTGAGATTACCCAAAACCGAATCTGGAATCCTTGCTGGTTCTACCTTTATATATACTACCATCCTTAAATTTATATATAGAATTATATATACATTTAAAATATTTAGAAATAAAGCCAATGGAATGATTAGTCTAATGAGTGAAAAGAACTCTTGTGATTCTTAGGAAACATTCAGTGTTTGATGGCTTGGTGAAATGGCTCAGTGGGTAAGTGACTTTCAGTATTTCAGAAAGCCTAATCAACTTCCATCCAGCAGAAGGCTAAGCATATTTTTGTTTTTGGCTTAAATTTTATTAAGTTATTGTTCTGTTATCTGATTATTATTTGATTGGCATTTAAAAGTGTAACTAAACATAGAAAAAGTCATAGATGCAGTTTCAGAATCTGTCAACATTAGGGTAGGGAGATGGCCTTGTGAGTTTGGTGCCTTTTCTCAAGCCTTATATGGGGATAAATCTAAGCCACGTGTATGCACACACATTTGTTATTTCTGTCTTGTTATTAGGCTTTCTGAAACACTGAAAGGTTCTATTTATTAACATTATTACAGTTATTTCCATGTGTGCATATGTATGTCATGGTGCACATGTGGATGTTAGAGGACAACTTTAAGGAGTTTATCACAGGGATTAAACTTGGGTCATCAGTCTTGGCAGCAAGTCACCTACCCACTGAGCCATTTCATCAAGCCATCAAATGCTGAATGTTTCTGAAGAATTGCAAGAGGTTTTTTTTGTTGTTGTTTTGTTTTTTCAGTTATTAGGCTCATTGAGAACAGTACTTTACTAGTGTTGCAGTGTCTGTAAGAAATTGAACATTGTAAAGGAGTGTGAGGCAAGAAGAGACCACGATACTTGAAGCTTTTTTTCTCTTTACTACAGCTGCTTGGAAGCCTGCATAGGAGTATAGATAGAGCACAAAAGAGATGATGTGGGACCAATGGGGTATGTTTTAGAACAATAAGACATGAGCAATGTACTCCTCTCTCATTTACATTGCAAATGAAGAGTGACAAGCTGATAAACTTGGCTTCAGGCAAGAACCTTTGCAATTGGAAAGTCTTGTTATTATTCCATTGATATAACTTGCCTTTGTAAGAGTTTTTTTTTTTTTTTAAGAGAAACAGGTCACCAAGAGTTTTGAAAGACTGATTTATTATGAGAGAAACATTTAGCCCAGAATACTGAGTCTCTGTCTCTGTCTCTCTGTCTCACTCACTCTCTTTTTACCTCATCTTGTCTATAAAAGTTCTTCACATTCAGCAGCTTTAACTATAGGCTCAAGATCATACCTGTTTTAAAATATGTCATAGTTTAATGATAGTAAAGTAGAAAGAAAAGCAATATAAAGATGTGCTATTTGTTTTTTTTAAAGATTTATTTTATGTATATGAGTGTTCTATCTGCATTTACATCTGCCAGAAGAAGGAATCAGTTCACATTATAGATGGTTGTGAGCCACCATGTGGTCACCGGGAATTGAACTCATGACCTTTGAGGAATTGCAGACAGTGCTCTTAACTACTAAGCCATCTCTCCAGCCCGAAGATATACTATTTGTTAGGGGCACATATGGGAATAGCTAGAATGTTGGGGGATTTCGGAAGTCTTTGAAGTAATTACATCTTATTTTTTATTTAATTTTGAGTCAGATCTCTCTGTATAGGACTGTGTTGTATGTGGTTATTAATATTTACTATTGATATATCTTTTAGTAAAGCTGCGGTTAATCCTAAACAGCTGTATAACCAAATCACCACACAGAGACTAGGATTTATTTAGCTAACCTAGAACACAATACTGGGCAATAGTTACTCCATCCTAAACCTCCAAACCTGCATAGTTTCCTACCATTCAGATTTCCCACATTATACTTGCTTTTAGTGGTATCTTAGGTCTGGTTCATTTCCCAAGACCTCTCCTCCAGCCTCTGCTCTCCCAGCTTCTCTCCTGCTGCTTGTCCTCCTTCTCTGCCTCCCACATCTTCCTGTCCACCTCTTCTTTCCTTTCCTCCCACTCTGAACCAGTATCTCCCGCTCTATTCTCTCCATTGCTCAACATTGTGGCTGGTTGTTTTAATTGACATTTTAGAGAACAAATGGTGGCATGTTTACACAAACTTGAGACAGGTAATGCTTAGAATAAATATCACAATGCAATGTCCAGATTAAAACCAGATATGGGAGAGAGAAATCAGCATTTGAATGAACAAGGGTAAGGTGTATACATTCCAAAAGAACATCATACCAACAGTACTGGCTGGCCTGGGACTTACCATGTAGACCAGGCTGGCTTAGACCTCTACTAAATGTTGCCTCGCCTTCTTGAGTGCTGGGATTAAAGTTATGTACCTCAATTCCTAGCTTGAAATAATTACATTAAAACTGCTATTGGGCTGGAGAGATGGTTCAATGCTGAAGAGTACGTTTTGCTTTTGAAGAGAACCTGAGTATGGTTTCCAGCACACACATGGCAGTTCACAACAGTCTATGACTTCATAAGCCTGATGTCTTCTTCTTACCTCTGTGGGCAGCATACATGCACAGGCAGGCAAAACACTCACACACATAAAATAACTAAATCTTAAAAGGGATTTAAAATTCATTACTTTTTCTTCAGAATACTCACCTCCATACGTTTGTTGGGTTTTACTAAAGCTTTGACACAATGTTATGTTAGAGGCTAAAAAATAGCCAGGCAGTGGTGGCATATGCCTTTAATTCCAGCACTAGGGAGGCAGAGGCAGGCAGATCTCTGAGTTCAAGGACAGCCTGTTCTACAGATTGAGTCCAGGACAGCCAGGGCAACACAGGGAAACCCTGTCTCAAAAAAACCAAAAGTAGTAGTAGTAGAAGCAACAGCAGCAGCTAAAAAATAATGTCTTAACTTCTGTTGCACTCTCTCAAGGAGCCCAAATACCCCACCCTCCAAGACAGGGTCTCACTCTGTAGCTTGGAACACACTGTGTAGACCAGAATGACCTTGAATTTAAATTTACCTGCCTATTAGGTAAATATATAAAACATAAAAACATATATAAAAAATAAAGGTCTAAGTTGATGATATTTGGTCATATTCCTAGGGAACATTCTTTTATCTTTAAAGTCTATTAAAAATCATATTTTAAGAACCAGAATGTCGAGCCAGGTATGGTGAGATAATGCCTGCAATTCCAGGACTGGGAAGGTAGAGGCAGGAAGATTAGGGATTAAAGGCCACTCTTAGTTATATAGTGAATTTGAGGCTAGCCTGAGCTACATGAGATCCTGTGTGTGTGTGTGTGTGTGTGTGTGTGTGTGTGTGTGTTATGTGTGTGTGCACACATTCACGCATATGCATGTGTGTAGGGATGAATATGGACATGTGTGGACGATTGTGGAGGCCAGAGATTAATGTCAGCTGTTTTTATCATTCTCTGCTTATTTAACTTTGACTTTACGATTATTTATTTAATGTGTGCTTCTGTATGGGCGTGTGCCTGCCACCACACATGGATGCATGCACTTTCAGGGTTAGGCCTCTCCGTCTGCCATATAGGTCCTGGTAATTGAACTGAGATAGTAAGCCTTGGCAGAAAGCACCCTTATCCACTGAACCATCTTTTTGGCCCTTTTTATTAAAAAAATTTACATTTATTTAGTGCGTGTTTGTTACATGCATGTTACAGTGCATGTGAGAAGGTTAGAGGACAACTTGCAGGAGTTTGTTCTCTCCTTTGTAGGTTCTAGGGATGAACGTAGGCCGTCAGCCCTGGTGGCAAGCTCCCTTGCAAGCAAAGCCACTTCATGTTATTTTTAGACAGTGTCTCTCACTGAACCTGGAGCTTACTGACTTGGCGAGATTAGCTGGCTGGTAAGATCCAGAAATCCTGTCTCCAGTTCTAGGATTAGTGTATGCAACCATGTCTGGATTTGTATGTGGGTGATGTGAATGCAGATCACATGTTTGTGTGGAAAGCACTTTGCTATTGTTTTAAAAAATTAAAATCCCAATTGTTCCATTTCAGCAATTAAGACTCAGGAGCCAGATGTTGGGGTGAAAACCTGCTAGCTCAGAGAAGCAAAGAAAGCACCCAGTTGACCTTCCACCCAGCTCACATCCCAGAAAGAAAAAGCCAAAAAGTCCTTCTTAAAAAAAATCTCTCAATATCCATCCTGTCTATTAATCCTTGTCAGCTGCTTTCATGCTCTGCCTCTTGACCTTATTTTATCCTGTTTACAGAAAACTCTTGGATCAAAGGTGTGTGCTAGGGATGAGCTACACCACACCTGACTATTTACATAAAAAAAAAAAAAGCTTCTTAGTTTAAAGGTGTGTGTTAAGGCTGAGCACACCAAACAAGAAACAGGTTTTTACAGTTCACAATCTTGGGGTTCACAATGGGAGCGAATATCCTTCAACAGTTTGCCAACTGAACAATATGCTAGTCTCCATCTAGATCCTGTCTTTAAAAACCCCAAACTACAACACAATGAAAAGTGTAATGCCTTTGTTAGAAAATGAAAGCAAACTGAGTACAACTGGAAATGTCTGTAGTCCTAGGTGACTTGGAGGAAGTGAGGAGGTTCTCTTCAGTCCAGTAGTTCAATATAAGCTTGGGTATCAAAACAAAACAAAAGCAGAGTGGTAAACTCAGGAAGCCGAGGCAGGAGAATTTTGAGTTTGAGGCTAGCCTGGACTATGCACTCTCAAAAACAAACAAAAAAAGCTTATATAAATTTAAGAAAGAATATCAAGGCTGGAGAGATGGCTCAGAGGTTAAGAGCACTGGCTGCTCTTCCAGAGGTCCTGAGTTCAATTTCTGGCAAACACATGGTGGCTCACAACCACCTAAAATCTGATCTGGTGCCCTCTTCTGGCATGCAGGTATGTACATGCATATATGCAGATAGAGTGCTCATAGACATAAATAAATTAAAAAAACAAGAATGTCAGTAGGTCTCCTTTGAACAATGCACGTAGTAGGACATATGGGATACTGAATAGCTAGTTCAGTTTCCTTTTGTTTCTGCTGTAATTGGAGAAAAAAAATATTATTTGAAAAGACTCTACTAAACTTGTGCAGGGAAGAACTTCAAAAAGGCAGAAAATATTCATTTGACTATGATAATATATTTTTAAGTAAGTCTAACTAGATCTGAATTACTCAACAAACTAGAACAACTAAAGAAAACAAGACAAAAACGCTCCTGGTGTCATTATTTAGAAAGGATAGGTACATTCAATAAAGAGACATTGGTGTTGATCTGCCAACTTGGATTACAGTAAGACCCTGTCTCAACACAAAGTATCCAGCATTTGCATATGCCTTACACACACAGTGCCGGGTTGGCTATTTTGTTTTCAAAGAAACACACAATTCTGACTTTTCTTGAGATGGTGGGAGGGAGAAAATTGTCTATATTTAACCTCCATGTTAGAAATCACTAAAAGAGACAGGAAAGATTTTAGTATGGCAAACGAATTGGCTTAAAAAAGCTAGAACAGTGATTTAAATGGCCGAAGGGTGAAGGATGACATTTTAAAATGTACAGAGTGAAAAATAAAGTGTAATCTGATGGAAGCAAATTGGGCCGACAGAGTTAGGAAGGTAGATTTAGAGTTATGTTCTAAACTCAGCTTGTCATAAAAACTATATTCTTTAAAAGCACGGAAGATTTATAGAGCAGATTGAAAAAGGGTGATTGGAGGGTCCCGCAAATAAGTGACAGTAAGTGAGGAAAAACTTGGGGAATAAATAATCTAATTATAGAATAGTTTCACAGCTCACAGACTGATGGTGATTTCCCTTCTAATAATAAAAATAGGCAACTAAATTTGTTGAAGGAAAATATTCTTTATTTAAATAAAAACATGTTAAGATGACAATCACAAGAGTTACTAAAAGCTGAGATTTTCCTAAGATTTAAAAATGACTTCTGTTGGTACTTTAATTCTCAATGTCTCCATCAGTTTTTCTGACCTGAAGGGGGAAAAAAGATTGAAGTAGTATCATTTTCTTGAGGTGTTCCAGTAGCATTTAAAAACAGCCTTTTCTCCAGTCTGATCCGAAGTCCCCAGGACTTTCCCTGTATCCTACTATGGGTTGAGGAGGAACAGAATAATATTAATTTTTTTTTTCTGGACATTGAACCAGGGCTGTGTACATATGAGGCAAGGGTATTATCATTGAGCTGAATTTCCAGACCAATGTTTTAATATTTTAATTATTTTTTGAGATGAGGTCTTATTCTGACTGGCCTAAACTGTCTATGTAGACAAGGTGGGACTTGAACACACAGAGACCTGTCTGCCTCTGCCTTTTCAGTTTGGGGGATTAAAAGTGTGCACCACCACGAATCCTTTCAAGTTTAGATCACCATGTTAAAACTTTGATGTTAACCTAACCAAGATTACTTCACCTCTTCCCCAGGATTTGTAGCTGTTAGGATGTTTATCGGCCACAGCCTCTTGTAGGTCTCTTGAGTCACTATAGGAGAGAACCACAAAAAGAAAGTTAATAGGGAAGCAGGAATGGGGAATTGGTTGATATACTCAGCTCCAGGCAGACAGAATCACATTATCCAACATAATTTAAATTAATTACTAAGGGTTATAGTAGAAATAATTTGATTTCTGTCTTTTGTTTTATATGGTTCCTTTATGCTTTCCCTTCTCCTGTGGTATGTGACTCTCAGTGGTCTCTGTAACCCTTGTATGTGCTCCCCAAGCTTGTTTGGATAGGAACCCTGAGCTGTTTATGGATGGACCCCTTAAGTTGGGTTTTTTGTTCTTTATAGAATTATGAATGTTGTATATACAAGGCCTTGATGGAATACAGTCCCAAGTGAACTATTGAGAAGGAAAGTACACAGAGCCACACCCATTATGTGTGTGTGTGTGTGTGTGTGTGTATGTCTCTGTGTGAGGCGTCAGTGTTTGGTGTTTCTTCAATTGTTTTCCACCTTATTTAAAAAATGTAAAATTTTATGTATGTTGGTGTATGTCTGCATATATGTTTGTGCATCACATGTGTGCTTCATGACCATGGAGGCCAGATGAGGATGTTGGATTCCCAGAATTAGAGTTACAGGTGGCTGTGGTCTGCTGTGGGTGCTAGCAATCAAATCTGAGTCCTCTGGAAAAGCAGCAGGTGATAACTGCTAAGCTACCTCTTCCTCCCCTTGTTTTAAACTTTTAATTGTGTATATGTGTAGGTCAGAAGTCAATTTATGGGAGTAGTTCAAACACCAAATGGGTCTTGTGGATCAAACTCAGGCTCCCAGTCTTGGCACTCTTTACCCACTGAAACATCTCTGCAGACTTCCACATTATTATCATTATGTTATTGTTAGTTATATTATTTGATCTGAAGTATCCTACTGAACCTAGAGCTCACTGATTTGGTTAGACTACCTGGCTACCAAATTCTAGGGGACCTCCTGTGTCTGCTTCCTCAGTGCTAGGATTATAGGCAAACACCACCATACCTGACTGCTTTTGTTGGCCTGGGATCTGAATTCAGGGCCTCATTTTTATGCAGCAAGAATTTGCCAACTGAGCTACTCCACAGATCTGACCACAAATCTTTTAAGTTAGTGACTGAAGCTCAGGCATGTGAACCTATGACCTAATGGCCATCTTCCCTTTAAAAGTCCAACTTTAGGGACGGTGAGATGGCTGAGTGAGCAAAAGTACATACTGCTAAGCCTTGCAACCTGAGTTTGAAACCCAGGATCCATGGGATAGAAGGAGAAAACTGGTGACAGCAGGTTGTCCTCTGACCTGCCCACATATGCTAAACAAGCAAAAAAAAAAAAAACCAAAACCAAAAACAAACAAACAAACAAACAAACAAAAACCCCAAAAAACAAAACAAAACAAAACAAAAACATTAAAAAAAATAGAGTCAAACTTACTAACTTGAATGATGGTGAAGAGCATATAGTTTATCTTACCTTTCACAAACCAGCATTTTTGGAGCAAAAGTCTCAAGAACAAATGAAGGAAAATGATGCATATGATCTAGAAAGTAAACAAAGAAAAAGAAGAAACAATTGCTGAGCATTTTTAGATTGTTGCAGAGAAAGCTAACTGGTGGAGGAGAGCCTTTTAGTTTTCCTTCTATTGCAATTGCTGGGAAGTGACTGTTCTGCATTCAGTCCACCGCTTTACATTTAGGTATAAATATATGATATTCTATCAGGGGAATGTGAATGTAAGTATCTTTTCAAATCAGGTGGTTAAAGGCACCACTCTCCTTTTGTGTCATCTTTGGAAGCTAAATGTAGAAGATTGGCAGCTACAAGATTAAACAAGCTTGTATCCTCATTCTGTTATCATTGAATTTCTGTCTTAGGGTTTTTATTACTGTGACAATGACAATGACAAAAGTAACTTGAGAAGGAAAGGGTATATTTTGCTTATACTTCCAGGTAACAATCTACCATTGAGGGAAGTCAGGACACAATCCTGAAGACTAAAACAGAAGCCATGGAGAAGTGTTGCTTGCTGGCTTGCTCAGCCTACTTCCTTGGAACACAGAACCACCAGCCTAGGATGGAACCACCCACAATAGGCTGGATCCTCCAACATAAATCACTAATCAAGAAAACGCCCTTCCATGCTTACCTACACTTTGATCTTAGGGAGGCTTTTGTTTCAATTGACATTCCTGCCTTTCGGATGACTCCAGCTTGTGCCAAGTTGACATAAAACTAGTGAACACAATGCTTGTACTGAGATTTAAATTATGACATTAATGTAATTTACAGCTTATATGATGGGAAGAATTATTGTTCTGACACACATATTTAATTATTTTTATTGTTTTGTAGTGCTGGAGTTAGGACCTAGGACCTTGCACATGCTAGGCAAATGTTGTGCCCCTGGGCCACAACCCTTTTCAATATTCAATACTAAGTTTGATTATAGATGAGCATTTTAAAGCTGTATTTAAGAAATAACTTCCTTAGTAGCTGATTCTTCCTAGTTCAGACTGAAAGCAGGTGAGGTCTTATTTATTTTGGTTTTATTTATTTTTAAGACAGAGTTTCTTTATGTAGTCCTGGAGCTTTCTATGTAGAACAGGCTGGCCTAGAACTCACTGAAATCCTCCTGCCTCTGCCTCCTAAGTGTTGAGATTACAGGTAAGCCACAATGCCTGGCAAGATGGAAGACTCTTATATGTGAATTTAGATTTTAGCTAGATGACTTTAGAAAAAAGAAACAATAGTTTATTGAATACACTATTTCTTAAGGAATAATTGTTTATTGAGTACATTATTAAAGTACATAGAGGCTGGACAGTAACAACAGTACCCCTGTAGAACAAGGCTATAGGGTACATGGAGATGTGGGTGAGTTTATCTCCAGCTGAGAGAATGTACTTGTTTGGTTTGGTCCAGTTTTCAGTACTTTCCTAGAGTGTAATATGCACCATGTGAATAAAAACAGTTCAGATCTGCCAGTGTGTGTTACTAGGACCTTAGCATGAGCTGCTTAGTCTAAATTTTCAGTTGCACAATCTCTGCCATGCAAAAAGTATGAGTGCCCTGGCTGAACAAGGTTCAGTCCTGGCCAAAGGCTGGGGCCATGGGATGCTGGCTTGTAACTCAGTTAGAAAGCTGTTTTTAACGAGGCCACCCTCTAGAGACAGGTGATATTCTTAGACTTAGAAATGTGATGTAGTGAAATGTTTCTGTGAGAGGAGCATCAAGCTTTATTACTGTGTGCTAGTTCTAAGGCACGCTTCTCTTCAAGTGTTCAGTTTCAGCCTTGCTCACCCACGTTCCAGACATCAGGGTCAGGAATCTGACTGCCAGCACTGCAGAAGTTTTCATTTCCTTCAAAACTTGGGTGAGTAATCTTTTGAAGATTAAATGGCTCTAAAACAAAGTAGAAAAGAAGGTCTTAAAGTAGAATAGACAATTAAAAAATTATCTGCTGTATTCTATTTGGACAAGGCTTCTATGTCGCTATGAGATGTGGGGACGTAGGAAGCGTGGAACTTGGTGCTACCTACCTGTCCTCAAATGAAAAGCTTACCGTCATCCACTGCAGTCCTGTTGACACAGTTGGCCTCATGTTCCTTGAGCCTTTTGATTGGGACCACATGACAAGCATTATATTTGCAGTTAGCCATCTTTTTAGCTATCTTTGGATTTTTCTAGAAGAAAAAAAAATTTGTTAGGTTTTGTCTGTATTCCATCCTTCACTCATTTCTGAAAATGCTGAAGAGATGTTATGTCTCAACTTTAAGAACAACTAGTTTCTAGATTGGAAGCATAAAGCAAAACCCAAACTATCTTTTTATAGTCTGAAAACATTTTCCTGTCTTGTAACTTACAGTTACTGTTGGGGAAACTTACCTTTTTGCAGGATGCCAGATGGTATTGCAGCCTGCTGGCTGGTATCCTGTGGTTTGGATCATATGGACAGAGTTCTATGGATTCTAACTCCATTAGTCCTGAAAGGCAGGTTGGAAAAGAAAAGATTACTACTTAAGATCAGGTTGTCTTGACATAGGCCTGTTTTCTATTCTTGAAAGCAATGTGGCGCTGCAGCTGGAGAAAGATGGCTCAGCAGTTAAGACTGGTCTCTGCTCAATCTTGAAGCCTGGAGTACAGATCCCAGCACACTGGGTGACTGACAAATGCTGGTAATGCCCACGCCTAAGGATCCCACGCCTTCTTCTCATCTGGGAATACTCAGAACACACATCACCCACACAGGCATATTTGAATAACAAAAACAATAGCTTAGCTAGTTAGACCATCAGGGAAAGTCTGTTTCTTTGTTTTGGGAAGCCAAAATTTATCATTATACAAATTCATGGGTTGCTTTTAATAGAGTGCTTACTTCCCAAATAGCAGGCAATATTAAGCAGACAATATTAAGCAGGCAATATTTTTCCAGGTCTGGAAAAATCTCAGACCTGGATATGATTAAATTCAACATTTATGCACTAGAGAAAGCAAGATTCCTTTAGCGTTCATTACTGTACCTCATCTCCAACTTTTCTAAAACTGAGCTACTAATTGTCAGATAAGTCAAGGTAACCACTGAGAAGAAATCAGAAGAACCACAATAGAAAGTCTGAATTTCATTTACCTAAGAATACTAGCCTGAAATATCTAAACTTGTGGGTATTAACATATGAAGACTCCTAGAAGTCAGCTAAAAATAAACCATCTCAAAGCTGCTGCATTTCCTGCCAATAGAAGCCCCGCTTTCCCCAATGGCTAGCTGTCTTTACCTATCCAAGCAGACATTCATTTTAAAGACTTGCAAGTTTCCAGGCAACAGCTAGAGCTGAGATTTCTGCAAAGCAGTGATGTATAGTTTGGTAGTGGCGGTGGTGGTGGTGTGTGTGTGTGTCAGAAAAGATCAAGGCAGAAGCAATAGGGAAAGAAAAGTGCCTTATAATAGCACATTTAAATTTGGCTGTGCACTATGCCTAGGGCATAGACAAAAAACATAGACTGTTAAATGTCAGATTTTCCTGAGGGCATTTTGGTGATTAAATTCAGGGATTTAGACTCAGGTAGCTTTTGTGATTTTCTTCTTCTGTGGGGAATGGGGAGGATGGTTTTTGGTTTTTTGAGACAGGGTTTCTCTGTGTAGCCTTGGCTTTCCTGAACTTGCCTTGTAGACCAGGCTGGTCAAATTCACAGAGATCCGCCTACCTCTGCCTTCCTGAGTGCTGGGATTACAGGCGTGCGCCACCATACCTGGTGCCAGGTTGATTCTTTATGGCTTTCACTGCATATTAAGGAATATATTAAAGCCATGGATATTTATAATAAAGTGAATTGACTTTCTGGAAAATTAAAGCTTGTAAAAGCCACTACTATATACGATTATCTTTAGATTAAAAAAAAAAAAGGTAATAGAAAAGGTGTTTTAATATCTGTATGTCGTGTTCAGAAAACCTGTTATTTTAACCTTTGGCCAAGGAAAGCATGAATTTTGATTATGGACCAGACACTGATAAGTCTGGTCTTAAAAAAACAAAGATTTTTGGACAAAAATGATATTGGTTTGTTCATTAATCAAAAAAACTACATTTCCTACGGAGGAAGGCTATGACTATGATAGAGGCCATTTGGTGTAGTACGCCAGACCCCTTAGTCACCTTCATACTCACAGGGCCCTGAGACTCACCTTATTCTCAAAACACTGTCCCTCAAAGGGAAGTGTCAATGAAAGAAGTTTGAGAAGACAGAAAGCACAGCACCGTCTAGTTAACAAAGTGACTTAACTTGCCGTCCAAGCTTTCTGTTCAGTTCCTCTCCTCCCACCATAGGTTCTATGTCTCTCAGAGGTTTGGAAAGTTTTGATGTCATAGTGAGGTCTTAGAGAAGTGATTGTCTAAGCCTGGTTGCACGTGGGAATCACCAGAAAGTTTTAAAGTGACAGATCCTTTAGTGCTGCTCCAGAACTATTGGATCAGGTCTTAAGAGTGCAGGCTCGCTGAGTGTGACTTTAAGAGTTCCGCAGGGGATTCTGGGTGGTAGTTACTAGGTTACTGTACCATTGCTAGGCCTTGCTATGGGTTAATTGTTTTTCGGAGGGCTCTTCAAGTTCACAGACGAAACTATGGTACAATCTTTAATGAATCCCTAAAGACTGCATGTTGCCACAATAAATCCCATCTTTCAGCCTGCCCCTTTTCTTTATAGGGAGTCAAATATGGAATTCCATAGAAAGTGATAGGACAAGCTCACTACACATTCAAAAGTCTATTTTTTAGGTGTTTTCTTTCTTTTTTTTGGTATACCTAATCCAATATAGCAGGTGCTGAGCTAAGCAGTCATATGTAATAAATCATTTAATCACTCCCTAGTTGTATAAGGAATTACCATTTAATAGATTAGGAAAACCAACTCAGTGAGGATAGCCTACAGCTACAAGGCTTGCACATGTTTCAGTAGCATTATTAATATTGTTTGAGGTAATACATGTGGAACACTAAAATATCTGATATGCAGCAAACAAGTAGGTTATCACTTTCCATAAATTAAGCAGGGTAATACAAAAGCCCCATGAGATAGAAATTACTGTCAATATATTCCCCTCTTAAAGGTACATAAACTGGATCAACTGATAAATGATAAGAGTTGAGATATAATTCAAACCACCTGGGCCCAGCACCCGTGCTCTTAGCCACTAAATCATGAGACTCAGCTCACTGTACTGAGCTACATTAATCAAGATTGTGAGTCTGACTGATACCAACTGTGGTTTCCCCTATATCAGCTGCAGGCTGGTCGTTGCCAGGCTCCAGCTTTTATTGAAGGTGGGTGGGAATATAATATGAAATGGGACTCTTTTCTTTCACCCCAACCCAGGATTTTGAACTCATGTGAAACCTCTGGATATGGAAAAAAATGGGATTATTAAACAGCAGAGGAAAAGGCTGTGGGAAGGAAGTAGCTGCAAAGACATCACAGATTACCACTTCCCCTGGAGCTTTTCCTTTCTGTGTTGAAAGAAACTTGAAGTTGAGAGCTTCTTTAGGTAGAGGGCTGAGGTTTGGTTGGAATATAAGAATCATCTCATTCAAACAACTAAGATTCAAGAATCATTACTAATTTTCTCTTGCTAATTAATTTGCCTCTAAAAAAGAGGCAAATTATTAGTCTTAATAATTCAGTAAGTTATTAGTATTATGTCTTTGATTTTTCAAGACAGGTTCTCATGTTGGTTAGGCTGTGTCAAAGATGACCTTGAACTTCTGATTCTTCTGCCTCTACCTCCTGAGTGCTGGTTAATTACCATGCATGGTTTTATGTGGTGCTGGGGATCAAACCTAGGACTTCATATATGCTGGGACAACATTCTATCAATCAAGTCACAACCCTAGCCTTTAGTAAGTTTTTATAACCAGTATATTTGCTGAATGGTTGCTGTGTCTAAGAGGTGTTGTGGATGGGTGTTTCTCAGATGTGTTCCCTGGGACGTTAGTTCCAAGACCTCCTTAGGTAACTAGAAATTCAGGTTCCTACTACAGGTTTACTAATCCAAATACCTGAGGACAAGGACTGAGTTTGTTATGTAAAAGCTTTTAGATTTTTACATTCCACCTTGTAGAGAAGCTTTTAAGCAGGAAGGTAAACTATTCAAAAGAACCCCAGGAAGTCTCTGAAACTGACTAAATTTACTAGGTTCTCCCCCCCCCCCCCCCGTCAGAATAAGCAATAAAACCTGAGAGAGTCCCCCCTCAGAAGAGAGAGCCCAGCTGCAAAGAAGACTCTGAGACTAGACTGGTTGTCTGGCTGAAGCAGAAGCCAGCAGAATTGCCTGGTTTAGAACTGCTGAGGTATCTGGAAAAGGTACTCCCTAACCAGCTGAGCTCCCTGAGGCTGTGCAGTGTGCTCCAGTTTCCCAGTTTTGAGTGTCACCCATGCTGGGTTGGGTTCTGGTGATGCAGCTGCCTGAGTTATTTCTGCTTCTGTAAGTAACCCCTTACCCATAGTCCTGTGAGCAACCTCAATAGAGCCCATTGGTTCATCAAGCTGGACTTTGGTTTGTTGTGTGTTCCCTATCTGCGGCCTGTGTTGCATCTCCCCAGGGAAAGTTTTGTTACACAACACTATTTCTTTAGCACCTTTAAATGCCATTGTTCTCAGACTTGAGGGCACATTGGAGTCACCCCGAGAACTTGTTATAGAATAAAATGTGTTAGGGGCTCAGGGGCTGTGAGTTAGGTTCTAGCACCCACCCACCTGTAACTTTAGCTCCAGGGGATCAGATGCCCTCCTCTGACCTCCTTTGTTATGTATTTGAGTGTATATACACACACACAAATAAAAATAAATCTTTAAAACAACAAAAAGAACAACAACAACAAAACAAAGCATGCTCAACCTACCTAAAGATTTTGGGCTTAGTAGGTCTTGAGTGAAGTCAAAGAATTTGCATGTCTAAGTAAGTGTCTTTTAAAATATTTCATTTTATTTTTTTGTAGTATCTAACAAGTTTCCAGGTACTGCTGCTACTGCTGGGTCACACAGAAACACTGCACTAGATACTGCAAAGGACATGAATACAAGTCATATACCTGTCATTAGGGAGGAACATATGATGTGGGTGGGGAGAGAAGGCATATGCTTAAAAATATAACAAGGAAGCTAATCCCAGCACACTGGAGGTGGAAGCAGGAGATCAGAGATCCAAGGCCATCGGGTTCACAGGACCCTTTCTCAACCCTCCCAACCATTTATACATAGAGTAGAACAGAACATGGCATTGAATGGAATAGTTAGAAGGAGGTGGGCTCACCAGGGTTGTAAAGGGTTCTAGGGCCTAAGGGTCAGTGGAAAACAGGCATTCTTGGTGGGGATATAGTATAGAGGTGTATGGAGCTAGTAGTAGATATTTGTTTGGTATATACTTTGTCTGGGACACTTGGGTAAGGCCAAAACGGTTGGTGCTGCATTGTGAGGAGATTTGAAAGCCTGTTTCTTTCCTCAGCTTCCACCCACTTCTTAACAAAGTGCTGCACACCAGAAAGAGGAAGTCTCCTGTGCTGAGGGTGCAAGAGGAAGCACAAGAGGACTCTGAAGGCCTGTGAGCCATCATGACTGCTATCCCCCATGAGCCAATTGTAGAAGCGACCGGAAGACTGCTGCACCAACCAGGCTGGGTCCTTTTACACAGAGGGTGTTGCCACCCAGGCCGAGAATATTTGGGGCGGTTGGTTTTGCTCTCCGGATGCTCCTCTCTCTCGGTGGCCATCATGTCTTTGACCTCTGCCTACCAGCATAAATTAGCAGAGAAGCTCACTATCCTGAATGACAGGGGCCAGGGAGTTCTTATCCGAATGTACAACATCAAGAAGGTAAGCGCGGGTCATTCTAGAAGGTCAGGGCAGGAGTCTGGAGGCTTGCAGGCCCAGTAGTCAAGCTCCCTCTTTTTCTCTGCTGCTTTCAGCCACTCAGACAATATAGGTCCCAAAAGGAGGGAGAGGGAGGCTTCTTTTCAAGGCTTGCCCTTTCTAGGTATGATTCTTGCCTTTCTGAGGCCTTTCTGAGGGTAGGGGTGGGAACAGGGTGAGAATATTTGCGTTCTGAGTGATTTGGATAAGGGTCTGAGACCTAGAGTTTGGAGTTTATTTATTGCTAATTCCTCTACTTTTTGAGATTTCAAGTTGGGTCATGGCAAAAACTTTGTGTGTTTGTGTGTGTGTCTGTGTGTGTGTAATTTCCCTAAAAGGGAAAATTTTTTTTAAAGGAGGTGTCTTCTAAAGTACTTTGGGATGTGAATTTTCTGTGTTATGTGCTTAGGAGAGTAACTATGAAATTGGGCAAAGCTGATGCCAAGAGGTAAGCCAGGGCACCTGGTAAGGAAGCAAAGATAAAGGTGGGTAATTGTGAGACTACCCTGGGAGAGAAAGAAGGACTTATGGGAAGAAACATCAGTGTATTTTGTAGTAAAGCAGCAGGAATATTGTTTCTGGGTACTCACGTCATTTGTAAAAGCCTCCTGGGATGTGATCCTCACATACTGGATGGAATGGCGACACTGAGCTTTGTATAAAGTCCAAGTTCTGATCAGTCACTTTTCACTACTTCCGGCTTCAGAGGAGGGGCTGGGAAGCAGCTTCCTCTCTGTGTTAGAGCCACGCCTTTGCTAAGACAGGATGCCAGGTTGTTAACTCTGAAGGGTGCTGGTTTACTGTCTGGAATGAACTGGTTTCTAATCTCCTGTCATGCTTTTATAATGAAATCTCAGACTGCCATTCCCAAGAGAGATAGTGGGAGTGAATGATGCAGGCAGAGTCGGGTATCTGAGTGGAAATACAGTATGGTGGTTTTATTTTATTTTTGTCTGTGCAGACCTGTTCAGATCCAAAATCCAAGCCACCTTTCTTACTGGAAAAGTCCATGGAATCATGTCTCAAGTACATCAACAAGAAATTCCCCAACATAGATGTCCGAAACAGCACGGTGAGAACGTGGGCCTGTTTTCCCCTTTTCTGTAACATTATTCTTGCATGGCAGATTCTTGAAGATTCTCTACTTTTGGCTACTTATATGTAAGTGTGGCCATTTCATAGTTTTTCTAGGCTTCAGGTATTGAGGATTATAAGCTCAGATGATGGTCTCCCATGATGAGTTGGAGCACAGCCTTGCATCCAAGTCCATGAGGACACTGGTACAGAGAGGCAGCTCCACCAGCCTTGCAGGACATCTTTTACCATAGTTCTTGGTACCATGTTGCTTTGCTGCTGGATGCTATGCATTCAGTGGTATATCCTGCATGTAGTGCAATGCTAGTTCTAGATTTCTTATAATTTATACACAGAGTATCTTTATACTCTGCTTCTTTTCCCATTGATTTATATGGCAAACCTCTTCAACTGTAAGGAAACTGAAAATATCCTTTCAGCTAGCCTTTTGATTGTAGTCAGAATCACACGCAGCCACCCAATCCAGATAGGAAATTTCTCTTTAGAGACTAGAGAACGCTGGTGAGCCTCTGGCCCCTCTCCAGCATGTTCACCCCTTGAATAATGACTGGGTCATGGGCTGGAGGGATGGCTCAGTGGTTAAGAATATTTGGGTTGTACTCCTAGTTTTTAGTTACTTGTATTAGTTATCCAAGTAATTAAATCACTTTTTTTATTTTACATGTTTATTTTTTATTTTACATGTCTTGTTTGATTTGTGTTTCAGCAACATTTAGGACCAGTGCATCGTGAAAAAGCTGAGATAGTTAGATTCCTCACCAACTACTACCAATCATTTGTGGATGTCATGGAGTTTCGGGTGAGTCCTCTGTAGCCAGGGTTGGTCAGTGGCTGAGACTTTTTAGTAGGTGTTCATTTGTGTTGATTGATGCAAATTCTTGAAAGAAAAAAGGGTGAAGGCACTGATACACAATGCTGTCTAAGCTATATTGTTAATGAAGGATACATGAAATGCTGTATTTTTTACTTCAAGAGACACAGAAGGTGGATGTGGTCAGTGGCACACACCTAGAGCCCCGGAACTTAGGTAGAGGGCTGGGAGACTCAGAAGGTCAAAGTTATCTTCAGCTGCCTATTGAGGTCTAGGCTAGCCTGTGTAACCCTGTTTCAAAAACAACAAAACAAAACAAAATATAAACGTACATCAAATACTATTAATATATTCACACTAAGTATTTAGAATATTATGCATCAGATCCCAAAATTAAATACATTTGGTGATGGACTATGGCTGGGTTCGGTTCCCTGAGCCATAGTTTTCCCCATTTTTAAAACCTGCTTATTTCTGTATGTGTGTTGTGTGTGCACCTGCAGGCATGTGTGCCAAGGAGGGGAGTGAAGGTCAGAGGGCAACTTTCGGAGGCTTGTTCTCTCCTTGCAGGTCCTATTTGTTTCCGCTACTGTGCTTCATAAACCAGGCTAGCTGTGGAGTTCTGTGATTACAGATGTGTGCTACTACATCTGTGGGTTGAAGAGATAGACCCTGGGTCATCAGACTTGTAAGACTAGTGCCTTTACCCACTGGTGTAAACTGTGATATTGTATGTGTATGTAGGAGTGTGAATGTGTATGTGTATGACATGTGTGTGGGGGAGTTGATTCTGTTTCTGCCCTTTTGAGCCATTTCTCTGGTCCCCCTTTCAGTTTTTATTTTGTTACATGTACCATAAAATTTACTGTCTTAACCATTCTAAGAATACAATTCAGTGATATTAAATGTATTCATAATGCACTACTGTTTTTCATGTAAAGTTGACATTTTCAATGCTTTAAGCAACAGTTTCTCATTTTTCCTGTTTCATGGCGCTTGATGACAACCATTCTGTTTGTTTTTATGACTTTAAGTATGCTGTTTTGAATAAATGCTCCCTTTTTTTCCTTTTGTGATTGGCTTATATAACTTAGTAGGATATGCTAAATTCATTCATGTGTTAGAATATTGAAGAATTTCCTTCTTTTTAAAAAAGATTTATTTATTTATTCCATATACAGTGTTCTGCATGAACACCAGAAGAGGGCACCAGATCTCATTATACACTGTTGAGCCACCGTGTGGTTGCTGGGAATTAAACTCAGGTCCTCTGGAAGAGCAGCCAGTGCTCTTAACCTTTGAGCTATCTCTCCAGCCCTGAATTTCTCCTTTTTAAGGCAGAACAATATTCTATTCTGTGGTTATCCTCGACTTTGCTTCCCTATTTATCCATCAGTGAAACACTCTGTTGCCTCCATATTTTAGCTGTTTTGACTAATACTTCTATGAACTGGCTGTCCAACTGCCTTTCAGATCTTAACTTTAATTCTTCTTTATATATTCATTTGTGAAGCTGTTAGATTTTTTTTGAGACAGGGTCTTTCTGTGTAGCGCTGGCTATCCTACAACTCATTCTGTAGACCAGGCTGGCCTCAAAAAAAAAAAAAAATCCTCAGAGATTTGCCTGCCTCTGCCTCTGCTGGGATTATAGGCGTGTACCACTGCACCTGGCAATTATGGGAAGTTCTTTTTGAAACTTCTTTATTATTATCACGTCTGTGTGGTGTGTGTGAACGTGAGTGTGCATGTACATGGAGGTCAGAGTACAACTTCAGAGTTGGTTGCTATCCCGTTTTGTTTCGTTTTGTTTTTTCTGTAGTGGCTGTACCTTTTAATTGACTACTAACAGTACACAAGGATACAATTTCTCAGTATTCTGATATTCTGATCAACAACTGTTGCCTTTTGTTTTTTGTATAGTGAGTGTCAAACCTAAAGTTTCATGAATACTAGGCATAGTTCTACTACTTAGCCACACCCTTGCTTCATTGTTTTTGTAATTTATGTCCTGTTAATGTGTGATGTAGAGTATCTTTTATTGTTTTTATTGGACATTTATATATCTTTTTTGAGAAATATCTCCTTCAACTTCTTTATACATTTTTTGATCAGTTTTGTTTAGTTTTTGTTGTTGAGTGTTAGGAGTTTTCTATATGGGCCACACCTCTCATATTTTATTATAAACATATTAAAAATTTCCAAAGATATGTCTGGCATGGTGGTACACACCCTTAATCACTCTTGAGAGGCAGAGGCAGACAGATCTCCAAGTTTGAGGCCAGCCTGGTCTACATAGTGAGAACCTGTTTGAACTACTCTCCTCCCAAAAGTAAATGCAGTGCTGGTTCATCTCTAATCTGAAAATCTGAACTTTAGAATATTGTAAAATATGAATTTCTTGATAATTGATATGACTGCTGTAAGTCTGACCTATGTGACCAGTTATAGTCAAAATACAAAAAAATTACATAAAATTATCTTTAGGTTATGTGTTAGTTACTTTTCTGATAAGATGCCATGACCCAGGCAATGTATAGAAGATACTGTTGCAGAGGAAGAGTCCATTACAGCAAAGGAGGCATGGGAATTGGGAGGAAAGAGCAATGTGAGAGATCACATTGTTAATAGTAATTCCACTCAAATCCACACAGGCCATGAACATGAGGTATTCATGAAACATAAATGTGTTTAGATTTGGGTTCCATCTCCAAGATATTTTATATATATATGAAAACATTTGCAAAAAATCGGAGATAGCCAAAGTATGAGACACTTTTGGTCCTAAGCGTTTTGGATCAGAGATGTTAACTTGCATAATAAATGCTGCTTTTCTTCTGGATCTTTTAATTGCTAATATTTCACCATATTGCTTGTCACTCACTTTTCCTCCAAACCACTTTACTTATTTGCAGACATCAGGACATTTCCTTTCCAAAATATTTTAGCATACATCTGTTAAGGACAGGAATATTTTCTTACATAATCCTGCTATAATTATTGTACTGAAGAAATATAATATTCCACAATACTATTGGCTAATACAGGGACCATATTTTCACTTGTTTTGTTATAATTCTTTCTTTTGTCTTTTATGACCTGATCTTTTGAAAGTTGTTCAGAATATGTCTCAGTTTGTATTTGGCTTGTTGATAAAAGCTTTCAGTAGCTGTAGCATATAAATGATATTTTGTTTGGATTTTAAAGGATAATCATTTACTGCTTTTAGGAATTAAGGAAACATTAACAATCATTCATACAACATTCTAAGTTGCAAATGATAATGCCTTTCAAAACTGAAAAATTAATGAAATAATTATACTTCTAGAACTTGTCATAAGGAAACAAAAGTCCCTAAAGATACATGTACAAGAATATACTCTGTTGCATTGTTTGTAATAGTGTCAAGTTGATAATTGATATAGCCAATATAAACACAGATTCAGTTAAAAGCTCAGGATATATGACTATAAACAAATAATTATGCAGTTGTTAAAGATGATAACATGTTTGCATTAGTGGGCATGCAAAAACATCCTTCACATATTGTTTAATGTGAAGAGAAAATGACAATATAGCTTAAGATGTAATCGTCTCTAAAGTGTATATTTACATAGATAAATATGCATATACAGAAGATTGAAATTTCTGAATCATGGGGTTATGAGTGTTTTAAAAACATGAAGGTGGAAGGGGCTAGAGAGATGGCTTGGTGGTTATGAGCACTTGTTGCTCTTTCAG